AAAATTAGTCAGTGAATGCATCGAAATTCTCCAAAACTTGGGGAAAACAACCTGATGATATCTTGCGTGCCAAGGCACAGGGGAATTTTGGGTAATGAGAAAGCAGACAGTCTAACCAGAGGAGGATCTGCAAGACCATACATAGGCCCCGAACCTATACTTGGGATAACAACAACAAATATAGAATCCTCCATCCCCGAATGGAGAACCCCTCCAAACAAAAGGAGAACTGGATAAACTCCAGCGGCGCTAGACATAGTAAACTTATGATGAAACAACCCTCACCAAGACTGGCAAAATCATTGCTGCAATTGGAGAGGGCCCAACTCAGAGGAGTGGTAGGACTACTAACCGGTCACTGGCATCTGGGAAAACATCTTCACAACGAGTATATACAACCATGATTCCATTTGCAGATTATATAATGAGGAGGAGGAAACAGCCACCCATATCATCTTCGAATGCGAAGCTCAATGGAGATTTAACCTAATGTACGAAAAAACTTAGGGAATCAAATTGTAGCAGCGATAGACCACCTGATACTTCTAAGGAGAAGGATTGAGTCTATTGCACTGAACTAAGGAACTAGGAAGGAACAATAACCCAAAACGCTGCAGTGCCTGGCGAGCACAAACCCCGCTTCCTAGTTTCCTTTTTTACCATACCATACGACATTTCTAGTAATGAGTATTCTTCGTACAGAAAAGTGGTCCACATTTGACTACAAAAATTAATTTTATCACTTAAAAAATAATAATAATAATTTTTGTAGTCAAATGTTGACTACTTTTCCGTACGAAGAATAATCATTAATAGAAATGTCGAAAAATTAATTTCGTACTGTGTTTTACAAAACTTTTCATAAATCATTTTTTTCTTTATTCCGTTTTTGTTAGCCTCTATTAGTGGAATTTCCGATTGTATTATCAAGTCATAGTAATAATATTTATCTATCCATTCAACTGAGTGGCAAAGTGATCCCCGAATAATTTCCTCAAGACGAATTCGAGAAAAATCGACCGTTTTGGATCGAAGGGAAAGAAAAGAAGTCAAACGACGAATCTTCATAACAATTCATACAATTATTACGACGTTGAAATAAAAAAAAAATCACAGTTTGTAAAATAAAGAGCAAAGTAAGAGAAAAGTCAAAACGAAAAGTCAAGGTTTTGAAAAACGTTCACCAAATTATTAATTGGGGCATGTACAATGCCGAAGGTTAAATTTTAGTTTAAACTTAAACTGAAAACAGAAAACTTCCTTCAAAACGGGACAACTTTATTTGGCACGTTTTTGGAATTTAATGTCTCTTGAAAACGCCTACCGGGTTTTCTCTTAATTGTTATTGACCGGCGACCGTCGCGGAAGGCAAGCCGGTCGATTCACTCGTCGTTATCACATTCGATGATACCCCGTATCTAAAATTATGCCAACTGGTGCTATTTCGCCTTTAATCAACTCTAAAACTGCAAATTTTATTAGATAAAGGTTTTTTTTTATTCTTATTTCCTCTGCTCAAAGCGCCTAAAATTTATTGAGTTTTAAGTTTTCCACGACCTGCTGTTCAATAAGATACGAAACCGTTATAGTTTTCCAATCAATGACTTCCTTTATTTTAACATTTTTCAAAACGACGAAAATCACTTTGTTACAAATTCGATACCAATGGAATAATTGGAGTCCGACAAAGGAAAGGTTTATTCCACATGCTGACACTGTTCCAATAGATGGTTTGTCCCACTCGATCCAATTAAACGTCCTAGATTCCCCCCTATTTGTCTCAGGGGCACACGGACAAACAAGTAATCGATTGGAGAGAGAGAGAAAAAAAGAAATTAATAAACAATAACGCCCGATTAAAATGGTTTCACTTGTTTGAAAATATTTCAAATAGCTTGGAAGAAAACCTGAATTCTGTTAGAAAGATTGGTTTAAACGAAGCATAATTACATCTTCTCATTATAATAAATGAAAACTGCTTGCCAATTTGGAATCGTTTAAGTTAAGATAATAAAAATTTCATTGATTTCAAATAAAAAGAAACCTTCGTCCTTAAAGATCCTAGGAGGTTTCTCCGTTTAAACGAAAACCAGTTTTCTCGGCTCATTTGATGTCTTTCTCTTATCTCAAATTAAACAGTGATAATCCTATTCGTAGTAACTCGTAAAATATGTTTTTTTCTTAATCACAACAGATAAACAGAATGCAATAATATTAAACATTTGCACTCGAGAATAAAAAAACAGTGGGAAGTCAAACAGAACAATTCGGTTGTTTGTCGATTGTTTGTTCTTGTATCTGGTCAATTTAAATTTGAATTTTATAACCGATTCTTAAATAATGAAGCAAGATGATTGATGCTGTGAATAATTCTCGATTTAAAAAAAAAACTTGAAAAAAAACGCGAAAGTTCATCTTTTTGTTCTGCCATTTACCGGAAATGTCTTGGTTTATTTATGCTCCTTTATGGTGAAACACCAAAACGCGTCGGGAACATTCAGACGCGGCCGGGTCAGGATGATCAATGATGATCCAACTGTGGACGGACATAACTGGGTCGGATTAATACGAAAATTTACAAACGCGCTCACAAACCGTATTCAAAAAATAAAGTTCGCTAGCAATAATTTGTACATTCAAATGTGAATAATTTGTGTAGATTAATGTTTAGATTTAAAAAAATCGATCATATCTGACCAAATTTACCTGTCGACCTGTACTGAAATTCCGTAGTCCATTGGCGCAAACCGACCAAAAAGATGGTGAAATGCCGATGACAGGCCAAAACAGCAAGGATAGTCGATCAGGATGATCTAACGACCAAATATGGTTTAGCGTTAAAGATTACGCCTTTCTGGATTTCCCTAGTCTGCGAAAATTTGCACAGTTTTGCAAAAATCAAATTAGAACTTTATTTTTTGAAATTGGCCGGATTTCCCTTCAACCTGCCGGCCTGGGAAACGGGCATTGTCTTTGTAATGAGTCCTGGGGTAAATTGTGTAGGAGGATGATCGATCCACCCTTTCAACATCCCTGGCTGAGGGGGGGGAGCAAGTGAATGCAATCAGGCTTCGAGAGAAAACAATGATTTTTATTTGATGATTAAATTAATTTTAAAATTAAATTATTAATTAAATTTAATGTTAAAAAATAATCTCTCGACTGGTTTCTCGGATTTAAAAGGAAATATGTAAAACTCTCAACAATTAAATGATGTCATATCTATTTTGTTTTATTATTATATTTTCTCATTATATTTTTGTATAATAGAAGAGAATATTTTCCCTCACAATTATGCCTCCTAATCTTATCCAACCAAACAAATCTTTGGTTATGACCCCTCGACCCACAACATTATGTAGATTATGTCAACAAAACGTTTTATATAATAATAAAAAATAATACAATTTATGTTTTTGCCATTAAAAAAATATACGGTGTGATATCCAATCAAGAATCGTTTATAATTATGTCTTATAAAAACAAAAAAATATAAAAAATATTTTTTTTAAACTATTGTATCATAGACCGAAAATAGATTTTACTGAGCTTAAATTTTTACACTAGACAGTATCGCTGTTAAATTTAGTTTAACACGAAACATAAATAATATTCAAATTTCTAATTGTTTAATGTTTTCTTACTAAATTTCCACACGCAGTTCTGAAATTGTTGATTTTCTCAGAAGTAAAAATGGTCTTTTTTCCCAATGTACAATACTTTATTTGACGTATTTTCAGTCAGAATCGGATTGTCTGGGTCATAAATCACCGAAAAAAGTTAAAAAGGTACTACAGAAAAAATCATATTTGAAGACTCACAAAGGTTTGAAAAAATTTTGTTTAATTTTTTACTATCAGGAGAAAAACAAGTTTGCGATCGTTCGAGTCTGTCGGGTTAATTATTTAATTTTATTAATCCATAAGCAAATTTTGGTCGTTCGAATAGTCTAAAATCTACTTCAGCCCAGCTTGGCAATTTTTTTTTTAATTTTTAAAGTTAGTTTCATTTTCAACAAAGCTCACGTGCACACTGTCAAAATTGACAAGTCGAACCGTCTTCCGTTTCTAAATTTAGTTTTGTTGAGTTTCCAAGTTTCCGTTTTGTACATTTGGATTTGAGACGAGAACGCGGACGTCGCACCTTGAAAACCGAAAAAAAAAAAATTAAAAACTAGGCTCAAAAACAAAATTTAAACTCGGTTGTAGCATGTATCTATAATAAAATTAATTAAACAGGGAAACAAGGTTGTGAATTTGACGATAAACATTCGGAAATAATTCATTTATGTTTAGTGGTCTAATTGACCAAATTACTTCTTTCAATTAATTATTCCTTTTTATATAAGGTCTTAGTTGAGATGAAAAGCCACGATAGCTCAAGTGGTTAGAGCAGCGGCGTATTGAGCCGAAGGTCGTGGGTTCGAATCCCACTCGTGACTTTAACTTTTTCATCTCAACCAATACCTTACATAAAAAAGAATAATTCAAAAATAATTATAATTAACTGGAACACGTTCTCTTTAATTTTTAATTTTATAAGAGACATTCTTTCCTTCTAACAGGGCCGATGTGGCCGAGTGTTTGGGCGTCCGACTATTTGCCGCGCTGGAGGTTCTATGTTCGAATCCCGGCCTGGCCCATGAATTTTTAGTTGGAATAGTATGAAAAATAAAAAAAATATTAATTGGTCAAGCGGACCACGAAACCTAGTGAATTTAGTGTGAAAAAAGTCGTGTATACTTGTTGTAGTATAAAGCCTTCGTGTACTTTTTGTTGTTTGTTTGTATAACATTAACAAGGGGCAAAATTCAGTTACGTAGGCAGATATATTCCAATGTAAAATTTTTTAATAACAGATCCTGATTTGTCAATTGATCTAAAACCACCAAATATTGCCTATTTTTTTAACCACAAGTTTTGTTTTTCCTTGAGACTTCAAATGATTTTTTTTAAATTTATATACATACATATAGCTAAAATGTCTTCTTCTGTTCACAGCTAAGATTTTCTTCTTTTATGCCTGTTTCTACACTGGCCTTATATCCTTCTTCTTCGGACTCATGGCACTGTTTTACCAAACGTTAGACATGAACACACCGAAGTGGCAAATGTCCAGCTCGCTCATCGGCAACAATCCAGGTAATCCGGCCATAATTTTTCCAGCTGTGAAAATGGGGGGAGGGGTTGCCGCAGGGGATGAAAGGGGGTTGAAACTGTGTCAGGGACGGATTCGCCTCTGGCGAGCGGATTAGTCACTACAACGACCCCCGCAGTCTGATATTTTCCATTATCGGAAAAATGGATTAGAAGCTGTACGTACAATTTATGCTTGATAATTTCTAAGGGTTGGGATTTGTCGTGATTCTTCGCTAGTCGCTGGCATAACATAAAAAAAAAACACGATCTTTGAATAGACCTTAATTCGAGTAAAATATATTGGTTACAAATTTGAATCATTCTCTTACAAAAAATTAGTATATAGTCTTGTATATTCCAATCAGGTTTTAAGATAATTTGAAATCGTCATAATATCATCTGACATGAAGATATTTTTAATATAAAAGAAATAAATAGCAAATATACCATTCACCGCGACTATATTTACTCTATATAAAATTTTTAAAAAAAGACTTATTAAACAATATATATTAAAAATATAATATGATTAATTTTACGTCCCATATTTTTCTACGAACCTGTTATTTTGGTAGTTTTCGACCTTCCTGGTTCGCCAACCCTCGCTGTATTTCTCTATGATCTTGCCATTTCGCCATGAAAAATGGTTTTGCATTTTTCGTTCATCTAATTTTCGTTTTTTAAAATTTCAAATGCCATTACGGGTTGAAGCCGGTGATTCAGGTTCACCACCCTGCGTTTTGGACTGGCTATCATCGCAGCATTTTGCCACCATCAGTAGTTATGAATTCTAGATGAAGTTTTACAATTATCTAAGAGGGTCCTGCAAATTTAAAAATGATAACAACGATATTGTAAGGGATTGTCCTGAGATCTGAGAAGTGGTGAATTTGTAAATTGGTCTTTTCGGGTCACCTGGTCCGCCAACTTCGCTGGACTTTCCTTTAATCTTGGGATTTTTATCAATTTTTAGAATGCCTCCAAAAAATTGAACGCTTGACATTTGATAGTTTCAGATCATTATAGTCCTCTTATCCTTTCTGTCTTTTTCTTTGATTTTTGACATTTTGTCATCAGTAGTGAACTTGTACATTCTAATTGATCTAACTGAATATTTTAAAGGTCGAATACCATTAAGAATCCTGCCCGAAAAAGTATTGTGTTATGGTATGCGAGGTGATAGACCTTATTTTGGTTGTTTCCGATCATTATGATTTGCCAGTCCCTAATTAGATTTTGCCATCATCAGCAGTGATTAGTTGAAATTTTACAATTATCTACAAGGATTCTGCCTTGTTAAAATTTAAAAATGATGAAAAAATGATTTTGTAAAGGATTGTCTTGAGATCTGCGACGTTTGGTGTTTCCCGACTATCATGGCTGACGGCAAGATTTTGAGTTAATCTGGTTTTAAAAATCATCTAACACTAAAGTTTCTGCCTTGATAACGTTTACAAAATACTAACAAAAAGGTTTTTGATGTTGTATTTAGATTGGCTAGTTTTGATGAAAATTCAGTTCGGACATTTCCAATCATTCTGGTCCGCCTGTCTTCGCTGCTCTTTGCTATCATCAGTATGACAAGTTTTAGTTGAAATTTTGTCATTATCCATGAGGATCCTGCGTTAATAAAATGTATAAATGATAAAAAGATTTAGAAAGGGATGCCCTCGAAGTCTTCGAAGTGATGAACCTGTAGTTTGGTGTTTTCTGGCTATCCTGGTTTTTCCTTGGTCCTGGCTGTCCACAAGATGTTTAATTAATCTGGTTTAAATATTTTTAAAAGTCAATTAATACTAAGTTATTAATATTATTTATATAATTATACCAAGGTGATAAAATTTATAATGGTCAAAAAGGTTTTTGGTATTAAATTCACTAAATTCGTGGTCCGCCTGACCAATTAATACTTTACAATTAATTAAGGTTTTTTGTTGAGATGTTCAGTTTGGTCGTTTCCCATTATCCTGCTCTGCTGATTCTGGCTGGTTTTGTCTGTGAGAAACATTTTTACCTGAAACTACCAACGAACAAAATCTGACTCATCAGAACAGTTATGAAAGTTGGTTGTTCGTGAACGAATTGTTTACTAGAGTTTGATCGTTTCCAATCATCCTGGTCCGTCTGTACTCGCTTTTTCTCTGCAAGAAACATTTTTATTTCTCAAAACACCGCTAATATCTGACAGACCAAAACAGTAAGGAAGGATTGGGAAGGTTGTTCGTAAACGACAAAGCTACAAATTATTATATTTTGTTAGTTTACGACCATCCTGGTCCGCCTATTCTCGCTTGTTTGTCTGCCAGAAACATTTTTTTCTCAATTCAAAACTACACTGAATAACATCTAACAGACTAAAACAGTAGTTCTTGTAGGCCTCAATTTTTTCAAAGGTCCAGTACCCTAAATGGTTCTGATTTGATTAAAAAAAGTACTAAGTATGAAAACTAATTGCAACGGTTTGTTTTGAGATGCGAGGTGATGAACCTAAATTTTAACCGTTTTTAGCATCCTGGTCTGCCGTTTTACGCTGGACTTTTCCACTAAGGCCTCTCTCTTGCCAAAAAATTTACCAACAAAACTAAATATTTTTGAAGTTATTGTGTTAAAAACGACAAAATTAAACGTCAAATTGGTTGTTCCCAACCATCCTGGTCCGCCTATTCTTGCTTGATTTGTATCTAGATAACTTTTTTTTCTGAAACCCAAATTGAATTATGTCTGACAACCAAATCAGAAGAGACTGGCTAGGTGTTCGTGAACGACCAAGCTTCTAATTGACTATAAGAAAGGAAAAGAAACATCGCAAACTTGATTTAACGTAAGCGTGATCCGAAGATTTATTAAAGGTATGGCATTACAATTGCGACCTTCAAACAAGGTCTTCCTGCACAACTGGTTTTTTTTTTAATCAAAGAGCTTGTCTTGCAAGTCAGCTATCTGTCTTTGTTGTTAGATTTTGTAAAAAAAGAGGCTGTATTATTTATTCGAAGTGGAACTAAGTAGATAAACGGTCCTGAATGGGCTAAAAATACTTGACATGCAAAAGATTAATTATTATGGTTATGGGAGAAACGAAGTGGCGTGGTCAATAAATTTAATAAATTCAAGTTTTCGCCGTACCTCGAAGCCGCAAATCATCACACGAGAAATACCAATTTCTATTAATGCTCAGAAATTATAATATATATGTATGTATCTGTATATATATAAATATTCATAAATGTTAGGACATTTTCTTCCGTTTTATCAGATCAAAACGTGACATTTTCTTAAGCATGAATCTATTAATGAACTCGGTGCTTAGATTTAAAAAAAGCCTTTGCTTTTTCGATTTAAACAAGAAGGGTTTTAAAATTAATTTATTGTAGCTTGGTAGTTTCCAATTATCCTGGTTCATCTATTCTCGCTTGTTTTGTCTGTCAGAAGTTTTTTTTTTATTCCACTGAATATCACCGGGCAAACCAAAACAACGAAAAAAGGCTAAGTTGTTCGTAAACGAAGAAGCTATTTACCGTAAGTTTGATCGTTCCCGATTATCCTGGTCCGCCTACGCTCGCTTGTTTTGTTTGCCAGAAACATATTTTTCTCCGAAAACTCCACGGAGTATGATCTGCAAGCCAAAACAGCGAAGAAAGTCTAGGTTATTCGTAAACGACGAAGTTACAAATTATTTATTGTAAGTTCCGATCATTCTGGTCCGCCTACTATCGCCTACTTTGTTTTGCCTGCCAGAAACATTTTTCCAAAACCTCTCTACCATCTAACAGACTAATAGCGAAGAAAGACTAGATTTGTCGTAAACGACGGTGCTACAAATTATTTATTATAAATTTACTCATATCCCATCATCCTGGTCCACCTCTTGCTTGTTTTGTCTACCAGGAACGTTTTTTTTGTCCGAAAACTCCTCTATTATCGGACAGACTAAAATAGCGACGTAAGGCTAGATCGTTCATAAACAACGATGCTCAAACTTATTTATTGTAAGTTTAGTAGTTTCCGATCGTCCTGGCCCGCCTACTCTCGCTTGTTTTGTCTGCCAGAAACATTTTTTTTCCTTCAAAAACTCCACTAATTATCATTTAACAGACCAAAACAGCGAAGAAAGGCTAAGTTGTTCGTAAACGAAAAAGCTACAAATTATTTATCGTAAGTTTGATCGTTTCCTATCATCCTGGTCCGCCTATTCTCGCTTGTTTTGCTTATCAGAAACTTTTTTTAAGGGAAGAAGTATTAATGGACGAATTACTTATTGTCAGATTACGAGAAGCCTCTGTTATGTTGATTTAAACGCGAAGTTTTTTAAAAACGCATAATTAAGATGGATTGATAGATGTCTTATATTTTATTAAATTAACATATATTTGGTGTATAAAATAATTTAAGTCAATAAATGACAATTTTTGTTCAAAAACCTTTTATGTAGGTTTAATATTTAATAGAGGGCGTGATGTTCTTAAAATTTAATAATGGCTTAATGGTTTAAGGTATATTGTTAGCTTTTTCCCTTAAAGATTAGCAGATCTGTAATCCTCGTGGGATCTTCACTGATGTGTCTGGCAGATAAACAACGGAAGATGTCTGACGTCTCTGACAAACCAAAACTGCGGGGATAAACGGACGAAGTTACCAATTACGAAACTTCATCACCCCGCAGATATCAAGTGGAAATCTAATCAAATTATTTTAACTCAATTTGCAAGTAAAGCCTTCCCACACAACGAACCTAAATTAAAATTGATGTTTGTGTGTTGTAAATATTAAATAAAAGTTGTTCAATGCTTACAAAGAAAAACTAGTTGTCTAATGCAGTTTAGTTGTTTCCGATCAGTTTTGGTCTGCTTATCCTCGCATTTTGTACACCCGAGATTTATAACTTAGCCTGGTTAGCTGATGTCTGATAAATCTTCAGTTTGGTAGTTTCCGTTCATTTTGGTCAGTCTATCTCGCTGTTTTGGTCTGTGCTACGCTCTTCAACCCTTGGCCATCTATCAGTTTTTTTGCCAGATTCACCATTCAAAATGGTAAGACGTTGGCTCGTAGGCCTTGGGAATAGGCAGCTATAACTATAAAGGTGGCCATTCACGATCGCTCCAAGCAGTCCAAATGCGATGCCGTTCCAAAAACCACGTCAATGGCAAAACTGAACTGGCATGCCCGGCTGTGCCGAATATTCGACCGGTCCAAACTCCATCGCGCCACTCCAAATATCTACGGCGCGACGACGGCATGGCGCGTTCGTGAATGGGAAAATCTGGCGTGGAGGGTGGGGATTTTGGCGCGTGGCCTGGTCGTGAATGAGAAAACCCTCGTTTTTTTTTTTTTGGCGCAGTCTCCGTCTTTCTGTCACTGAGCAAACATCTCCGTCGTACATTCTCAAAAAGTCAAAAACGTTTATTCTTTATTGGTAATGACATCCAATCGAGATTTTATTGTTGAGGTGATTGAATTGTATGAAAGTGTACCATGTTTATGAAAGTGGTGGACAATAAAAGAAATTCGATCCTCAACCAGTTGGTCGACGTTTTCAAAACAAAGGATACAAATGCAATGAGAGATGCGGTATTGATAACCCCTAACAATGATCAGAAATCGTAGTAGAGAACTTAAGTTCTTTGTAGTTCATCCCTGTAGCGAGAAATCGTAATGTGGTTGCCAACCTTTCATATAGTGATGATTCTCTCATGACTGTCTTTTGTTTTCTAATCAAGGGGGTAACAAGCTGGAGTAAATATAAATAAGACGTTAATCTTTTTTTTGTAAGGTTTTAGTTGAAATGAAAAAATAGTGTCACGAGGGGATTCGAATCCACAACATTCGGCTAAATACGCCGCTGCGCTAACCACTCGAGCTATACTGACTTCGATCCACTCGGGCACCAACTCCCCATCACAACCTACAACCTTTCGGATTTTCTCTCTTTTTGTTATTTTTTGGTATCGGAGAGGATCGAAGTCACGATAGCTTAAGTGGTAGAGCAGGGGCGTATTTAGCCGAAGGCCATGGATTCAGATCCCGCTCGTGGCACTAGCTTTTTCATTTCAACCAAAACCTTACAAAAAAGATTAAATAATTGAAAGAAGTAATTTGGTCAATAGAACACTAAATATAATGAATAAATAAGATGTTTCATCCATCCTTAAATAGTTCCTCCAATCAGCGGGTTCAAGGGAAAGTTCTTTCATCAAATTGATATGGGTATTACGGCTTATGTTCAGGAGCCACTTCTTACACCATTTTCTCTTCGATTTTTTGCTTTTAATATGTAAATAAACAGAAGAGTAGCACAAGAGATCGTCATCCGTTTTGAGACGGTAATTCACTGGTTGACGTTCGGAGCGACTGGCTGTGGAGCGGTCGTGAATGCCCCTCAAATTTCAGGCACTCCAAATGGAGCTGTACGGCTTGGCGCGGTTTCATTTGGAGTGATCGTGAATGACCACCTTAAGGTTTTCTGTAATATCTTAGATGTTTTTCCACTTGGGCTTATCACTATGATGCAAAACATAACATTGACTGGTTATTAGAAAATGTCAATTTTTCTATTATTGTTGGCCTGAGCACGTTTGCTTTATCGAGTTTTTCTTTTAGGTGGGAGTCAAAGGACATCGTAAAAGTGATAGTTACACCTAGGTAGGCTTGATATAGTATCAACTGGTGCCTTTCTATTTTTATATTTTCTTCTGTAGGTCCGGTTTGAATGATTAATTGACTAGTCTTCTAGAAGTAGGTATTGTTTGCAAATGATATTTTCGAAAACATCCATTAGTTTGAAAAGAGTTTCGCCCCTCAATTTGGTAAAAGGTAAAGCATGGCAGCGGTAGGAATAGCAGGGCGTTCTATTATTCAAACCCTTTCGATTTTTAGATTATTGATATAATTTTTTCAATTCCCCCGGCGTTCTGGGGCTACCCTCGTGGGAGTTTATTAAATTTATTACTCCTCCTGTCCACCCTTTTCCTGTCAAATTCTATACGACGAAACTTGCGTGCTACTTCTCTTGTACGACTCTCATCGATCACACGAATCGAGCTCCGCCTGGTATTTTACCCTCTTCAATGGAAACACTTTCACCAGAAAAAAAACCTTACTGAGTTGTTCGTAAGCTCCACGAAGAATTTAATAGTGGTGTTCAACGAGTTCGGATCATGGCAGTTATCTCGTTCCATAATGTGGACTTATGATTAGCAGATTAAACAGAGTTAACAAAGAGATTATATCAAATCGAGACTTGTTTGTTCGTTTTAGTATAGGCCAAGGCCCCAAAACTTCGGCTATCTTTGATCACAAAGGATTATTCATACATACTTCAAAAGAAAATGTATTTATTAAGATAAATGTTAATTTGATACAACCGTTTGAATCAATAAACTGTTAAGGGTATAAGCAATTGTAATTTTCCAAACGAAATTGAACTTCCAAATAGAATCCAATGGAAATTAACGTTATTCAATTAATATTATAATTTTTCAAACAAATTGAACTTTTTCCTAATCAAATTTAACTTTCTTCAAAGTAAGTATAACTTTTTCCAAAAGAAATTGTAGCTTTCTAAAGCAAATTGAACTTTATTTAACAAATAGAACTATTTGCTAGTCCAAGAGACCTGTTTTTTTAACTTAAATTAAACTTTTTCTCTAATCAAATTGAATTTTTTCAAATTAAAGGAACTTTTTTCCCGAAAAGTTGCCTTTTTAAATCAAAATGAACTTTTTCCCAACAAAGGTGTACTTTTTCCAATCAAATTACATTTTTGCTAACAAAATTAAACGTTTTCCTAATCAAATTGATCTTTTTTCGCTCATATTGAACTATTTTCAAGCCAAATTCAACTTCCCACACCAATTTTTTTTTAAATTAAATGCAACATTGTTCAACAATAAATTGAACTTTTTACAAATAAAATTGATATTAATACTCTATTAATTATACACAATTTTTTTTCGAAATGAAAAATTTGTGTCACAGGCGGAATTCGAACCCACGACTTTATAATTAGAATAAAATCGGGTAGTCGAAATGAGAAGCATGGGCGATCGAAGTCACGGTAGCTTAAGTGGTAGAGCAGCGGCGTATTTAGCCGAAAGTCGTGGGTTCGAATCCTCCCGCCTGTGACACAAATTTTTCATTTCGAAAAAAATTGTGTATAATTAATTGGGTATTTATATAATTAATAGAAGCTGATAAAATTTAGTAAAAATTGATATTTTTAAATTAAATTGAACCTTTTTCCATTCGAAATTGAACGTTCTAAAACAAAATTTAAATAATCTTCTAATCAAATTGTTCTTTTTTCGCTCATATTGAACTATTTTCAAGCCAAATTCAACTTTTCACACCAATTTTTTTTTAAATTAAACTCAACATTGTTCAAAAATAAATTGAACTTTTTACAAATAAAATTGATTTTTTTAAATTAAACTGAACCTTTTTCCATTCGAAATAGAATTTTCTAAAACACAATTTTAAAAATCTCCTAATCAAATAGTTCTTTTTTTCACTTATATTGAACTATTTTCAAGCCAAATTCAACTTTTCAGATCAATTTTTTAAAATTAAATTCAACATTGTTCAAAAATAAATTGAACTTTTTACAAATAAAATTGATTTTTTTTAATTAAATTGAACCTTTTTCCATACGAAATTGCACCTTCTAAAACAAAATTTAAAAAATCTCCTAATCGAATTGAATGTTTTAACAATTTTTTTCTATCAAATTGATCTTTTTTCATTAAAATTAAACTGAATTGAAGAAATAAAACAGAATTGAATTTTTTAAACTAAATTAAACCATTTCTAACTAATATAATTTTTTCAAACCTAATTGAAATATATTAAATAAAATTAAACATTTTTCATACGGATTCACTTTTTTACCGATACATAGATCACATTTGTCATTTGGAAAATCCGGAATGGTGGTTAAACTACTACATGTTGAAAAAAAAATATTTTAAACACTCGCTGGGTGTTTACTTGTAGAACGAACGGCTTATTTTCAAAATTCAAAATGTGATAATCAAAAATTTAACAAGTGGGTGTTCTGCCAATGATCATGCTAAGACTGATCGAAAACGTAGAGTCTTAAGACTTTAAAGATTTAAATTTAAAAAATGTTAAATAACTGTGATTTTTCTAGGTCTAGGGTTCAGGCCGATGCCGCCGGAATCTCACGTTGAAAGTACGTTGATATGGTATAAATCCCAGGAGGACAACTTCGCCCCGTGGACCGTCAAGTTGGACGACTTCTTGAAACGTAAGTGTTCAATAAAACTCCCATGCCCAAAAAAACTCTTATGCTCTACGAAGAAATCATATTCTTCTTGAGTAAACCGTTTTTTTAATCGCATCTTTTTGTCCATTTCCAGCGTACAGGGAGCAGGATCCACACGAATCAAACGTCCAGGTGTGCGACTTTTCAACGACCGACTTCAATGACAAGGTCTGCAGAATCGACATCGCCGATTGGGTCCCTTGTACAAAAGATTCCAATTATAATTATCATACGCGCGCTCCCTGCATCTTCCTTAAGCTCAATAAGGTAACCCAAAATTATTTATATGCCCTCGAGGCTCTTATAAAAGTAAATTGGCCGGGGTTATATTCATAATAAACGGCACTCCAGGCGCTTATAATTTATAAAGAGTAACACAAAGAAAACTTTATCTTTAGAGTCAAGAAAATTGACAGCTTTTATAGATGGCTGGTCTGGTCTGTCTATCAATGAATTAAACTGCTTACAAAAATCCTCACCCTTATAAAATTTTCGATGTAGAGTCATAAACGAATGGAAAAGTAAATTTCAGATTTTAAAATTATAATTACTATGGGTTCCCAACAGCAAGTCGTATCAACCCTAGGGGTATGGGTTTTTGAGTTAAATCGCTACACGCCCTTGCGTAACTCAATTCAGACATTCTTGAACCCAAAAAATATATAAATAAATAAATTTATTAAATTGTCATTTGTTTATAAACTGCATAATACACTTCCTAACAAAAACCGCCTGGTTTTTGCACAAAAAAATGGTCAACTTTGGAAACGCATATTTTCTCAGCCTTTTAAATCACGGTACGTCGCTAGGTCTCATTTGTTAGAAAATTTTACACTGAACAAGATGGTTTTTTTAAATGTTTGCCTAGCTTCAGTCATTCATCAGTAAATTCAAAAATTCGGGAACATGTTCATTTTTGCAATTTTAACGAAAACTTCAAATTGAGCTACGGAGCCAGGAAATCGTCTTTGGAACGTCGCCCTATAGCAACCGGTAGCAAATGTTAATAAGCTTTCAATTGGTCACCTTCCACTTTGCCCGATTTCTAAACAGTTTTCGAGCTTTTCGCAATTTTTGAGCAAAAACGTGGTTTTTACGCGCTCATTGAAAAAACCGATCACACACTCTCTCTCTCTCTCTCTCTCTCTCTCTCTCTCTCTCTCTCTCTCTCTCTCTCNTCTCTCTCTCTCTCTCTCTCTCTCTCTCTCTCTCTCTCTCTCTCTCTCTCTCTCTCTCTCTCTCTCTCTCTCCCCCTTTTCAAGATTGCATAAATTTTGAAAAGTCATGTTTTCGGAAATTTTACGCTTTACAACTTTTATTCCGAGGACTTTTTCAAAAAGTGAACAGGGAAGCGACAATTCTTACATTTTGTTCCGTTGACCTTTTGGGATGCGTAATGCTTCTGCTGTCGATAACCACTTGTTTACTTCATAACGGAAATTCAACTCTCCCTTTCCATTTCACAGCTGGTTTGGCTTCGAATAACGTATTGAAACAATAGGTTTATGTATGTCAAAATCGGAAGAGTGTTTGGTTTTTCCATGAACACGAAAAAATCGTTTTGGTTTTTTTGGCCAAAAATCGCAAATAATTCGAAAACAGTTGAGAAAACAGGCACAGTGGGAGGTGACCAATTGAAACATTATTAAAATTTCCTATCTATTGCTAAAGAGGGTCACTCCAGGACGATTTCCTGGCTCCACAGCTCAATTTGATGTTTTCTTAAAAATTAACATCTCGAATTTTTTAATTTACTGATGAATGAGTGAAGCTAGGAAAACATTTTAAAATCATCTTGTTCAGCGTGAAGTAAAGTAAAGCTGAAAAAATATTTCCAAAGTTGGCCATTTTTTCGTACATAAACCAGGTGGTCGGTTTTTTAAAAGGTTTTTTTTAAGTTGTTGTAGTTGTGTAGTTAACTAGGTGTAGTTGACTCATGAAGAGAGGCTAGTAATTTTCGTTTTAATTCAAACGTGCCAATTTTTATACGTTATAAATTTACCAATTTTAAGTCTAAATTCTTATCAGATTTATTCGGAAATGGTGAGATGCGGTCTGGTGTGATGTAGGTTTCAGAAAAACATTTTCTTTATCGTGTTTACGTTTCGATCTTTATTGAGATCATCTTCAGGGCAAGTGTTTGTTTGACTCTCAACACGACACGAAGAATGGCACAATTAAGCAGAAAACAAACACTTTGAGCTCTGAAGATGATCTCAATAAAGATCGAAACGTTGGAACGATAAAGAAAATGTTTTTCTGAAACCTACATCACACCAGGCCGCATCTCACGATTTCCGAATAATCATCGGCTAACGGTCACTAATCACCACACATTTCTTATCAGATTTTCAATTTTGAAATTATTAGATAAATCGTGTTTTCGTTAAAAAAAAGTTTGCAAACAAATTTTAACGAAATTCTTCTATTTTTCTTGTGGCTTATCCTTCACGACTTATTGCATCTGCGTCTACATAATTTTACCTCAAAATGTGTTTTTTTTCTACACTGTATGGCGTTTTATGGTATCACGCGTGTGTGTTTATCCGGCCAAAATTAGACTATTGTGACACGCAATTTTTTTGTTATGTTAAAAAATCACATACAAAGATGGTATAAAATGACCTAATTAATTTTTTTTCATATTACATAAAATACAATACAGGAACAAAACGAGGCGACTTAATAGTTGGAATGTGGATTTTTCACTCGCGTGCACGATTCTTTTAACGGCCGTCACCTCGTCCGTCCAAATCAATTCCGTTTGAGTGATTGGGCCAAAATTCCGAATTTCCTTCTAAAATAAACCGTCCGACTGTCTGCAAGGCTGAAAAGATCGTTTCAACCCTCCGTGCACCACATGCTACTCCGTGTATTGATCTCTTCCCATCGCCTTTTCATTGATGATTTCAGTTATTTATGACATCCCGATGTGTTCTCTCTGGGCAGTTTGAATTGCACGAACAGAAAGAAAAGTCGAAGGGGGAAAACTTAAGACGGGAACAAAACGCATAAGGCCAATATTAATTAAGAAAAGATAATAAGACGTTATTACTGTATATTTTCTTCGGGTTTTTTAGGTTTCTGATAATTGGACTGGTGCAAAAATAATGCAGGTTTTGAAAAACAGTTAAAACTATTTTTAATTTTTAAAAAATAAAGAAAATTTATTCAAAATATTTTCCATCGCAATCTACACATCTTTGGCAACATGCAATAAGCGCTTTTATCCCGCTGACATAATCTTTATTTCGACTCACAATAAAGTCTTGGAAGGCGTTTTCGGCTTCAACGCGTCCTCTAAAAATTTTATCCCGCAGAAGTGCTTAAAAAAGTGGAAGTTTCTAGGTGAGAGGGTTCGGTAAGGTTTCATTTCCTAAGTCCTTAAGTTTCCGCAGGGTTGGCTTGCGACATGTAGCCTGGCGTTATCGCGAAGAAGAATCGGCCCCACGGTTTAACAGTGCTGGACAAAGAGGTTGCAGTTCCCGTGCATTTTGTCAATTTCACGGCAATATTTCTCTGCTGTGATTGTTCCATCATAATTCAGGAAATTATAGTGAACAACCCCAGCAGTACACCATCAAATCTTCACCAGAACGTTTTTGCCTGCAGATTTGGTTTCGGAGTTTTTTGGCGATTCATCTTTGCCCAACCACTCCTGTTATCGTACAGAATCCATTTCTCATCGCACGTGATGATTTGATCGAGAAATGGACCATTTCGGTGGCTGGCGAAACAGAAGGGACGTGCAAAGTTCAAAGCGTCGATCTCTTTGGGCTTCGGTTAGATCGTGCAGTACTGGTCGAACTTCTTTACTTGACCAATTTGCTCCAAATGGCGAACAACGGTTGAGTGGTCATCACTAAGCTCTTTCGCAATTTCCCATTTGTCTTAGGTGAATTTTCCTCACTCAACGTTTTGAGTTGGTCGTCGTCAACGGAAGGCCTACTGAGGACCTACCCAGTCTTCGAGATCGAAATCTCAGAAACCATCGCTGCATCGTGTATTCGCTAATGCTTCCCTCCCCCCAAACTGTATAAATTTGACAAAATTTTAGTTTGTACATGTTTAATTTCGCAAGTCCTCACTCTTATAAAAATCAATATAAACTAAAGTATTATTTCATTTACGTTTTAGTGGTCTATTGATCAAGTTACTTTTTTCTTTTATTATTATTCTTTTTATGTAAGGTCTTGGTTGAGATAAAAAAGTCAGTGTCACGAGCGGGATTCGAACCCAAGACCTTCGGCTAAATACGCCATTGCTCTACCACTTGAGCTATCGTAGTTCGATCCTATCGGACACCAACTCTCAACCAAGACCTTACATAAAAAGAATAATTAATTGAAAGAAGTAACTTGATCAATTGACCACTAAAACGTAAATGAATTAATATTTAATAAGTAAAAGAAGTATCACTTCACTAAACAGCTCCCCGTGGCCACTGCATAAGTCGCTGAGAATCCAATCCTGATTACACATTTGAAAATGGTAAAAAGAGAGAAAATTCGGACGGTTGCAGGTTGAGATGGAGAGTTGGTGTCTGAGAAGGATCGAAGTCACGATAACTCAAGTGGCAGAGCAGCGGCGTATTTAGCCTAAGGTCGTGGGTTCGAATCCCGCTCGTGACATTGACTTTTTTATCTCAACCAAGACCTTACATAAAAAGAATAATTAATTGAAATAAGCAAAACTGTTTTGTATAAAAGATAACGATTAAAAGTATTTCTTACAATCCATAAATTAAATTTGAGGATTTAGTTTCGTTTACAAATTTTCAAAACCTGCTTTATTTCGCACCAACCCAATAGCATATTTCTTAATTTACTCTATAATATTTAAAAGAAATAGAGGTAGACTTGTATATTTTTGGTTTAGGTACTTTAAAGTTTAAATAGACAAAATTAATTTGAACTATTTGAGAAATATATAAATTTCAATTTTCTAAGAGCTTGTCATACAAAAGAGGTCGGGTGAAAGTTATCGTCCTATATTTGATATATACATGTATGACATAGTTATGAACAGTTTTTTCTTTATTTAAATAATAAAAACACAAATTGTGTACAAGCAGCCATGGCAAACGATCAATGGCACGTGTAAAAAGCCGACAATAACGGATTTTCATCGAACGACTTTGTTTCAAAGCCTCCCCGAAGTGCGGGTCCTAACCTTTGAACTTCACCCCTAGACAGACCGACGTCTAGATAATATCGACGGGTCTATTCATAAGAGCAAGTTCAGCCGGATAAAAAGTCTTTGGAGCCCTTTTCAGAATTTATCCGTCCGAGATTCTATCAGGTCTCCTCGCTGTTGTGCCAGCAGGAACGTTTCTTATTGATCTCCGGGCGCAATGCAGTCATTCCGAAATTGATCTATACATTTTTCATCCCTTTTGTACGTCAGAACTGTTTACGATGGTCGCGTCACAATTGTTATTATATTTTTGCAAAAGTATGAACGTTACAAAAGTTCACCTTTCCATTAAAACATAAAAATCAATATTTTTAAGAACCTTTTTGTTAACATTTATGTAATAATTTTTCAATAATATTTTGAGTATTACAAAGGAAACTAATCATTTACTGAAAAAAGAAAAATTACTTAAAAATAACAAGGACTTGTTTTTTAGAGCTGTAAATTATAAAAATCACCGAGTGAAGAATGATTTTTATCAAATAGATATTAAGTTTAAAATTTATAGTAAATATATCAACTATTTACTTTTCGATTTGAAACTTTTTACATCATGAAAATATGTAGGTATGCAAAAATTACAAATATATATTCAAACTTATTAGGTTTTGGAAAATGCTTAGCTTCAGTGAAAACTATGCTAAATGTTTAAAATATCTTATAGTTTGACTTTAATGAATTGGAAAAAAATTGAAAACGATAAAATCTCTCAATTCATTTTTCCAATTTTCATTTCCGAGTGAAAAAAAGAGGAAAAGTGTTGGAGATCTAATGTAAGAATAAGTGTAGTTTGTAGGAGAGATAAAATAGGATTTGGTTCGTGACTAAAATATATTTGAAGGGGTTGCTGGGTGGTTGGAAAAGGGGGTTATGAGGGTGTAAGAGAGGAGGGCGGCGGTGCCCTTCGATTTCAGCGCCCGGCAACAGCATGAACTAGGTCTAAGGGCTGGATATTAGCCCTTCCCCCATCCGACTGTATCGAACAGAAGGCTTTGGAGGGCACGTTTTCGGTTCTCACTGGTTTTTAAGCCTTCATCCCTGGAAAAGTCGGAAATTTGGCTAAGACCAGGGGCACAAAATAATACATTCGATTGAAACTCAGCTGGACAGGAAGTTTTCTATGGGATATTTTAACACAGACCTTCATGGGCATATATGAATACATAAAATACAATTTAAAAAAAAGAAATCAAATTGAACATTTTCTTAATTAAACTTTTTGTCAAACAATTAGAAATAGCTGCAAATCAAATTGAACTTTTTCGAAGTTATATTGATCTTTTTCTTAATCAAATCAACTTTTTTCAAAGGAACTATAACTATTTCCTAATTCTTTTTCCGAACGAAATTCATGTTTTTTTTAAACAAAAAACTTTTTAAAAACTATCGAACTTTTTTAAACCAAAATTTAACTTTCTACAAAACAAACAGAACTCCCTTCAAACCAAATTAAATTTATTTTTCTCAATTCAAAATGTTCTTCAAACAACTTTCTTGGGTCCTACGTGCTTTTTCGCAGTCTAATTCAACCTTTCCACATTTCCAAACCTAATTAAACGTTTTCCCGATCAAATTGAACTTTTTTCAAATCAAATTAAATGTATCCAAACCAAAATGAAAATTTTCCAAATGAAATAGAACTTTTTTCAAATCAAACTTTTGAACAATATTTGAATAGACATTCACGAATTGAATTTATAAAACATAATGCAAAAACAAAAAAATCAATTTGAATTTTTTTAAATAACTTTTTTAAAACAAATTTGAACTTTTCTCAACAAAAATTGAACTTTTTCCAAAACATGATATTTTTTCAATTTGTGTTAGAACGCATAAAATATGATACAAAAGTAAAAATATGAAATGGACATTTAAGAATGCGTAAAACTTAATATAAAAACAAAGAATCAATTTGATTTTTTTTAAATTACTTTTTTCACACAAATTTGAAAATTTCTCAACAAAAATTAAACTTTCCAAAACAAATGGATCTTTTTTCAAATCAAATTAAGCTTTTGAACAATAATGTGAATGAACAATATGAATGCATAAAATATAAAACAAAAGTGAAGAAATCAAATTGAAATTTTTTTTAATTAAACTTTTTTTCATACAAATGTGAATTTTCTCAACAAAATTGAACTTTTTCCAAAACAAGTTGATCTTTTGTCTGTTTGTACTAAACTTTTTCCAAATTAAATTGTACTTTCGAACAATGTATTGAATGAACATACATGAATTCATAAAATATAATACAGAAGTAAAGAAATCAAATGAACGTTTTTCTTAATTAAACTATTTCATACAAATTTAAACTTTTCTCAATCAAATTGCACTTTTCCAAAACAATTTGACATTTTTTCAAATCAAATTGAGCTTTTGAACAATAATGCGAATGAACAATGTGAATGCATAAAATATAATACAAAAGTGAAGAAATCAAATTGAATTTTTCCTTATTTTAAACAAAACTGAACTTTTCAAAATCAAATTAACCTTTCCAATTTAAATTTAAAAATTTCAATTCAAATTGAATTTTTAACAATGTTTTGATTGAATATGCGTAAATTATAATATAAAAGTAAATAGATCAAACTGAATTTTCTTCAAACGAGTTGGAATATTTCTCCTTTTTTGAACTTTTTTCCAAATCGAATTGACTTTTTTAAAAATTACATTAAACTTTTTCAAACCAAATTGATCTTTTTCTCAAATAAATAAATAAATAGAACTTTTTGAAACTTTTTACAACCAAAATTCAATGTTTTACTAATCAAACAGTTCTTTCTTCAAACCAAATTAAATTTTTTCCAACTGGTTAATTTCCAAATAAACTTATCCAAATAAAATTGAACTTTATCTAAACTAAATTGACTTTTTTTAAATTTCTGAATTTTAAACTGAAGATCATTTTAATTTGCAAAATGTATATACACGTAGAATATAATATTTCACTGTAAAATGACAAAATAAACAGCTATTACAATAATATCTGAACTGCCATATTATTATATTTTAAGAAGATACTATAAATATTTAACACCATTTCAAAAATACACGAATTCTACTTAATTAACTAATTCTATTATTTATAATAATTATTATTGCATAATTTTGGTAATCATATTTTTCTGATACGTCCTAGATATTTGGTTGGATGCCAGAATTTTACAACGATACTGAGAACCTTCCGGACAACATGCCTCAAGACCTGAAGAACCACATAATCGATGAAAAAAAACAGAATCCTAAAGGAGTGGGTATTTGCCAATAGGTCGGCTTTGTTTAAATCATCACTCATGCGTTGTAATGTTTTGTTTTAGTTGAATACTGTCTGGGTGTCATGCGAAGGTGAAAACCCAGCAGATGTCGAAAACATTGGGTCAATACAGTACATCCCGAGGCGCGGTTTTCCAGGATACTTCTTCCCATACAAAAACCAAAAAGGCTACCTTAGTCCTATTATAGCCGTATGGTTTGAAACTCCAAACCGTAAGTACAACTACTGTAAAAATGCTGTGTAACCAATAGGATTTTAAAAAAGTTGTATTAATAATGTTTCTGATAAAAAACAAATATGTAAATTAATAAATAGAATTCTAACTGCAAATTCGATAATTACAATTTTCCTGTTTTGAATATTTTCATTTAATGTATATATAAAGTAAGGTTCTATTTATTGATCAACATGTTTTTTTATATTATAAAAACATTTATAAATATAACATTTTTTTAATTTGAGATAAGATTAACTAATAACAAAAGTGTACTACTGCTGCATTAATTAAATATACATATTTTATCCAAAAATTTAATGTTAAGGAGCTTGATAGCAAAGTTTGCTGATAGCAGTTCATTTACAATTATAATAACTGGAGGCATTGACATCCACAGTTAGTCATTAAAATATTTTTGTGAATTTTAGTAACACATTTCTTTGTTCACAGCTGGAGTGTTAATAAATATTGAATGCAAGGCATGGGCTCACAATATACATCACGACCGTGCAGAACGTAGAGGATCAGTACATTTTGAACTGATGATTGACTAGCGAGTAGACGTCGCCACACCTCCAGAGTCGCCTACTAGCCTCACTTACAGACCTTTTTATCTTTAAAAACATTTTTTCCATTTATATTTAAACAAAAAATATATATATCACCTTTCCAAAACGTAAAACAAAAAATTACAGTAAAATCAGCAAAAGCAAAAAAAAAAAAAATTAATAATATTAATAGAAAAGCCTATTTTCACTCAATGAGGAAAGGCATAACTCGAGTAAACTGTCTTTTATGATAAAGTTATTTTTGTGAAACAGCGTAGCTACTTATAGTATGAAACATGTGTGGGCTCACAATTAGCGAATTTCGCTCTATTATTTCACATAATTGGCTGTGCTATTATATTTTCTCTCCAAGACCCCTTGATTTCAAATATTTTAATCTTACTTTTTTTTCCGTTGAGTTATTTTATTCAACTTTTTTTTTACCCTTAAAAAAATTTATCGGCTCAATTTAAAAAAAAATATTAAAAAAATATAAAAAAAATATATGTATAAGTTAGTTTAACCTCCGGGAAGTGCATGGGGCGAAGTCTCAAGATGTATTCCAAGCCCATGCGTGTTTCTAAAAAAAATAAAAAAATAAAAAATTAATGCTACCGTCACAACAACTTTTATTTTTATATATATGTATATATATATGTATAAATAAACGATGATACACCTTCTTATATATACATATATATCCAATGCACAAATTTAAAAAAATATAAAAAACAAGGTGTGTACAAAATAAAAAATTTAAAAAATTTAAAAAAAAATTAAAACCCTCAAAAATAAAAAAAAAAATAAATAAGGATAGTTTATCCAAGCAAACATGGACAAATCGTTGATAGTGTGAGATTTAATGTTTTTGTTGTTGACAAACATAAAAATAGTAATATTATTTTTTAAACAAATTATTATAATAGTAGAATAAATATGAATTTTTTGCTTCTTTAGGTAATAAAAAATTAACTAAATATAACCCAATGAGCGAAAAATACTTAAGTTACCAATCGATTTTTTTTTTGAAAAAATAAAAAAATAAACGGCTTGTTGAAAGTGTATATTTTTAGATGCCGTTAGATCTTGTCCGTTGACGCGTGGTCTTTGAAAGTATGATTAAATACTATAAAATTTAAAACATTAATAAAAAAAACTTTTTTATGATTTAAAAGAACACAACACACAAAAATCGAATGCTTAAAAGTATTAGATTAGATTGTGATAAAAAGGCGATAAGAGGCATATGAATACAATAGTTACTTTTAAAGAAAAAAAAATATTTGTAGATGATATTCACCTAGGAGTAGGTATCACCTAATAATAGATCTAGTCATTGATATTACTAAAATAGTTGTGTAATGCTTTGAGCTGCCATATTTTTTCCCATCTTAGTTTGAAATTTTATTTTTCCTGTTTTCGTATTGTATTTTATAAAAAACAAAAAAACAAAAACAATTTTATGAGAGAGATTTGTCCAATTAAAAAGTAAAAAAAAAATCACAATTTTACTACTTTCTTGTTATTTATTATTATATTTAATTTGATATTACTAGCTTTAAGACATGTGTTCAACATTTTGTTTTTCACTCGTGTTTATAAAACTTGTGCCGTGGTGGAGGAGCAAGTGTGCAGAAGTTACGTAAAAACGGGAAGACAAATATAAATTAAAATCAAACTTGTATAGAGATCACTTTCAAGGCTAGAAAAATGATTTCTGAACTCATTTTAAATGTAAATGTACCTTTAGCCAGACGCGGAGAATTGGAATTTTAAAATGTTTTTTGAAATATTTTTCTGTACAAATTAAGCGAGCGAACAAAAATTAAATGAAACGAAAGAAAGACGAAAAGTAAAATGGAGACCCACTTTCTACGGTGAAAATTTTAGTTAAACAAGATCTGCTAACAACAAGTTTTTATTGCAATTGATAAAATGATTTTGACTTGATTGTAATGAAAGAAATATACAATTTGAAAAAAAAAATCCTGAAAGTTATCGATGTTTGGATTTAAAAAGTATATATATTTAAAGAAAAAAGTAAAATGTAATGTACTTTAATGTCAGTTGCATTCTTAATATAAATAAATAGTAAAATAGCCACAAGTTGTTACTTTAGCAAGTACGTTACAAATATTTAGGTACTTATATATGGTATATATAAATATATGTTGCTAAGGATCTATATGTAAATGTAATCATTATCATCATTGTCATCAAAAATCATCAAATCATTTAAGTACCTTGTTACTTTGTTACTGGTATGGGTATAATGAACAACGGTTTACCACTTGTAAATATATGTTGTTCATCACTGCCACATGTTGTTATCAGATTATAATTCCTTGTTTAATACATTTGACCCTGTTCTTAAAAAAATATATAGTCTTTTTTTAATTATAATTCTTCACCTTTCTTAATCCATATCCTGGAATGGTCATCATGAATGCTGTATAAATGCTTTAATTTTTTATCATACGAATGTTTTTCTTTTGAAAATGGTGGAAAAGTTACAATAAATTAAGGGCGGATTACTCGGGCACTCCTATTTCAAATTGCCAAGATTTTCGATGTGTTTACTAAAATTTAGTTTGAGGTCGTTTTATACCTAGGTAATTTTCAGTCTTAAGCCAATCAAAATAGTTCCAATATTTTATGAGAGAGAGCAAGGTTTAGTTGAAAGAATGCATCTAGTTTAAGATTATTTTTAACTTCCGTCTGGTGCATAAAAGCTTTATTCTTCCAAGTTCCATAATAATATTTTTTGAAATCGCACTAATCCTCCAGGAGGAACAGTAGAGCACAATGTCCTTGGTGTATAATACCAGTTAACACAATTTACATTTTAGCTGTGTATTAAGAACAATGCAAAACAATATAGTACTATTCAATTCACTAATTTCATGGTCCGCTTGACCAATTAATATTTTACAATTAATTAAAGTTTTCAGTTGAGATAAAAAAGTCAATGGCATGAGCGGGATTCGAACCCACGATCTTCGGCTTGATACGCCGCTGCTCCCACTTGAGCTATCGTGACCTCAATCCACTCGGACACCAACTTCCCATTTGGGGACACCACCTTTTGAATTTTCCCTCCTTTTTGCCATTTTTCAAATGTCGTGTAATCGGATTGGATTCTCGACGACAAATGAAATGGCCACGGAGAGCTTTAGTGAAGTATACTTCATTTTAAATCATTAAATTCACTAATTTCGTGGTCCGCTTGACCAATTAATTATCACAATTAATTAAGGTTTTTAGTTGAGATAAAAAAATCAATGGCACGAGTGGGATTCGAACCCACGATCTTCGGTTTGATACGCCGCTGCTCTACCACTTGAGCTATCGTGACCTCGATCCACTCGGACACCAACTTCCCACCTCAACCTCACCTTTTGAATTTTCCTTCCTTTTTGCCATTTTCAAATGTCGTGTAATAAATTCGATTCTTGGCGACAAATGAAATGGCCACGGAGAGCTTTAGTGAAGGTATACGTCATTTTAAACTTATTCAATTCACTAATTTCATGGTTGACGACCAATTAATATCTTACAATTTATTAAGGTTTGTCTCAACTGAAAACCTTAATTAACTGATAGCTCAAGTGGTAGAGCAGCGGCGTATCAAGCCGAAGATCGTGGGTTTGAATCCCTCTCGTGCCATTGACTTTTTTATCTCAACTGAAAATCTTAATTAATTGTACAATATAGCACCCTGAATCGAGCCTTGAGAAAAAAGTGAATTATAGAGGGCAACACAAAAAGATCCCATTTGCATATAGGAGTGCACAATTTTAATTATATAATTCTGAAAATTATAATCAAGCATCCTGTAAACAATACTACAAAGACTTCCTCCATGTCCACGAGTACAAGGCCTGTGCATTTTTTAGTCTTAAAGCTTTCACTGATGTGGTGAGAATTGCTCACTATGATGTTTTGGCGATCTGGAGTCTGATGTGCTTTAGTCTAAGGTAGGCTCCATGGGAAGTTAAGTCATTTCAGCCCTCAACACATAGTTTTTAAATATAGACACAATCTCACTCATCCTTAAATAAATGTTTTCCTGTTTACATGACATTCACTCAAGTTAGAATGGTGGTGTACTTGATATTCCTCCAATAACTCTCCACACATATTACAAAACTAATCTAATTGAGGGACGATGAAGTAGTCAATATTCTATCGGCCATCTTAGCACTAACATTTATGCTAATAAATACTTTCAGTCTCAACATACTCATAAGAAACATTAAATAAGATATTTATCATTATTATATGCAATAAAATGGCCGTTTCCTCTAAAAATTAGAATACAGGGTGCAAATATTCACTGCCATGCACAAGCTCCTCTCATATCAGGCATTTCTAAACTATCTTTATGAAGCCAAGAAATGGCACTTTTTTATGAAGTGAGACACATCAAGCAATCCTTCTCTGTTTTGGGCACATGCCTGGGCTTTGACCCAAAAGTAAGTTGTCCCTGTGTCAACTTCACACCTATTCTTGATTGAGTTAGGATGACCTGTGTACTACTCAGAGAAGTAGATATTCTTGCATTACTCTTTACACTGCTTAACTAGTCTAACTGAAGTCGTTGGGGTACTCAATATTTCCCATTAACTTCACAATACATTCACGCAAATAAATACATTCATTATCAATATATAAAAAAAAGGAAACACAAAATTAGATGTCTTACCTAGCATTATATATAATAAAACAGTTGTTTCTTCCAAATTTTGGAATGGGGACAAGACAATTCTCATATCTGGTGGCATTCCTACACGCTCTCTATATAGAGCCAAAGAATGAAACCCTTCAATCAAGTCACATCGAGCAGCCTTCTTCTTCTCTGGTTTTTAAAAAGAACAGTCATAGTATTTTTTAAATATTTATTTGTGATATATAAATTATATACACGTTTTATCAACTACAATCGTTATTAAATAATACAACAGTTTAATAAACTCAAATATACATAACAAAATTTATCCCACAAGTTACAAGCTAACTGTTACTTTGTGTAAATGTACAACTTCTAACTTAGTAACGTTGCCGGTTTCATGTGCTAAAAACATTAAATATAAATACTTAAAATAATAATACTATTGTATAACAGGTAGTATTATTTATTATTACTTAAAAACGTATGCTTTGTAAAAATTGAGCTTTAACCTTATATATTTATTAGAAAATATTATATTTATTTTTTTAATAGAAAAATGTTATTATTGTAGAAGCTTGAATTATTTATTATAAACATATTTAGTACAAAGGTTTAGTTATTAATTTAAACTTGATTTTATTACTCGAATTTTTTTCCATCAATACAAAACTTGAATTAAACATATGATAATAATACAATTTTGGCACTAAATTGGAGTAAAGCAATCTGCACGAAATAAAGAAAATCAATCATTTGTAAATAAATGCAAGGGCATTTCTTACTATGCTATACTTAATTGAAATTAATTTCGTTAAATCTTAAGTACGTTGAGAAATGCCTGAGTGTGTTCAAGTTTGTACTAAAGTTTTCTTTCCTTTTTTTAATGCAAACACTTGAAAATAAAAATAAACAGGAAATTTAGAAAACGAATACGTTCAAGTTTTGCTCCAATGAAAATAAATGACTAGATATAGACTTGTATCAAATACGAGAAAAGAAATCTGTAATTTTGTCACGATCAATATAAAAATCAGTGACTAGAATTTCAACGTAAAAAATGTACTATTGTGCGCTATTAAAAGGCGTCGATGTTGAAAGGGATTGAGCAAGTGTTTTTCCCCTTTGATACCCTCTTCATTTATTCACAATAATACATTCTAAACTATTGATAAACCTTTAAAACAGGACAATATGAACAATTGGAAACGTGTGGTTCCTTAAAAGTTGGTAAAAGGAAGAATGTTAATTTTTTATTGAATAGGCCTTTTTTTTAAAAACCGTAAATGAGCAAAAGATGAAATACAAGTCTTTTAATATGATGTACAATGTATGCAGTGTGAATTTTTGTGCAATTTTCCGTGTTTTACACAATTACATGCATTGCGATTAAAAGTTTCTAATTTTATCACATTATAGGAGTCAATTCATTTTCAATATAAAAAAAAGCATTTTATGTGCATGTGTCCCAGAGAGCCACATTTGGAAATATCACATTTTCTTTCTAGTTTAAAAACAAAGACGCTTAAAAATAAAATAATAAAAAAACAAACAAAAGGAACAATAAGAAATTTTTATGAAAGTGTGAATGATGAAAAATAAATAATGGAAGACTATAAAAAATAAACAATTTTTGTTTTTTGTTTAAAACACCAAGGTTACTCCCTTTTTCCACTCATGCTGAGCTCGAGTTGGAACTGGCACCAGAAATGGCAGAGAAAAGGGCCTGCGAGTTCCTCTTGAAGCTGCCCAGCTCGGAATCGGGCCAGAGCGTTTCTGAGAACATGTTGGAGAGATCCTGTGCCATTTTGTGCAAATTCTGGCGTAGTGCCATCTGGTATTCTGTCTGGTCGGATCTAACTAGCTTTGAATTCAGCTGGAGGGCAGCATAACATACTCTGATGAACTCCCTGTTAAAGCATACAATTAATTTATAAAAAATATTTTTGCGAGGCCTTTAGTATTGCTGTCAGCATTTTACAATTTTTTTAAAGAAAAAATAGTTTTTCATATTTTGGGAGTGTCTTTACACTAGTCCTAGGTTGCATGTAGCAGTTTTGACCAAAGCGTTTACTGAAAGAAAACCGAGTTGGTGGGCCTATTCTTTTTTGAAAGTGCGATATGACAGGCAGAGAAGTGTGATCGCCTGCCGATTTTGAAACAGAGTCAGATGGTCGATGAAATGCCCCCCCCCCCAGTCAGTTTTGAAAGCGTTGAAAGCGTAGTATTCCATCATCCATGCCACACGTCTGTTTTGCTTCCAATTACGCGTAACCATCTGTTTTTAAGTCCAGCCGACCACAGTTTGTCCTATCATTCAGTGGAGATGGAGGTGGGCGAAGGAAAAAGATAGTGAGTGGGAAGAATTTAGATGAGAGCCACACAGTGTTTCTGGAGAAGGATAAATACCAAAACCAGTATTTAAAAAAAAAATAGAAGGAAAAATCCTAAAGAAAGGAGAGGAGAAAAAATGAAACTGAAAGTGAAAGGAGAAAGAATAAGTAACAGAGTTTGAACTAGAACTGCCAACTTTCGAGACCCAAGGCAACCATCACTTGGCCGCTTCCAACTGGCTAACGTCATCCTCACCAAAGTTTATTATTTATTACTATAAATAAATAAATTATAAAATTACAAGCTAAACATTAAAACTAAAATTAATTAAGGTTTTTTTTTAGTTGAGATGAAAAAAAGTTAATGGCATGAGCGGGATTCGAACCCACGATCTTCGGCTAGATACGCCGCTGCTCTACCACTTGAGCTATCGTGACCTCGATCCACTCGGACATCAACTTCCCATCTCAACCCCACCTTTTTGAATTTTCCCTCCTTTTTGCCAATTGGTCAAGCGGACCACGAAATTAGTGAATTTAATGATTTAAAATGAAGTATACTTCACTAATGCTCTCCTTGGCCATTTCATTTGTCACCGAGATCCAATCCAATTACACGACATTTGAAAAATGGCAAAAAGGAGGGAAAATTCAAAAGGTGTGAGATGGGAAGTTGATGTCCGAGTGGATCGAGGTCATGATAGCTCAAGTGGTAGAGCAGCGGTGTATCTAGCCCAAGATCGTGGGTTCGAATCCTGCTCGTGCCATTAACTTTTTTTCATCTCAACTAAAAAAAACCTTAATTAATTGTAATGTATTAATGAGGGAAAACTCATAAGGTGGGGTTGAGATGGGAAGTTGATGTCCGAGTGGATCGAGGTCACGATAGCTCAAGTGGTAGAGCAGTGGCGTATCTAGCCGAAGATCGTGGGTTCGAATCCCGCACGTGCCATTAACTTTTTTTCATCTCAACTAAAAAAAAACCTTAATTAATTGTAATGTATTAATTGGTCAAGCGGACCCCGAAATTAGGGAATTAAAAGATATTTTTTCTGTGCACAGACACAGGCAAGCCACAGGTATTATTACTTTTTTTAATTAAAAAAACTGAAATACCATATTCCACTGTTTTGCGTTCTTTTTTTCCATTGGTAATAACAGCAGGGGCAGCAGAAGTACTTGTTCTTTGTCCATTTCATTAATGGAATATATTATACACTATATTTGTCAATATTGGAAAACGACATGTACTAAACTAGTCGGCATCAACTGGTGGAATGGTGAAACCAACACAACAACCGCTAGTGAAATTGCAGTGCCTGTCAGCTGCAGGGGGGGGGGGACTGCCGTGTTAAACACTTCAGTCAAAACCACTACGTGCATCATAAACCTTAATTGCTTAATGGTTTTTCATTACCACAAAGGGGAAAAAAAACAGCTTAGACTGCTACAAAATTGCTCAAATACATGAGAAGTTCTAGGAGGTTTACAAGTATGTACTTAAATTTTTCTTTGAATTTACCAAAAAAAATCACAACAGACTCATTCTATTACCCAATACTTTTTTAATATTATGGTTGGCTGAAGACGTTCAAGATTTATATAAACATTTGATTAGCCATAATTTATAAATACCTGAAAATATCCTTTAATTCTTCAACTTTTTCTTCTGGATAATTGTGCAAGTTATCTGGGTCTAAAAATGCATTTGCATATGCAAGTGGTCCTGCATTGACCTGAACACATACACTGCCCTAAAACAAGCACATTAAAAGAATTGTGTTTATCACTTGCCATTGATTGATGATAGAAAAAAAATTATATAAATAAATTACTTGAAGTTTAAGTTGAAGTTTTTTGACATCAGGCGGCTTTGTAAAGACGACTTCTTCGAGTTCTGCCACCCTCTGGTGCATTTCGTCCAAAGCGACTTCAATAGGTGACAAATCGTATTCGACTCTTTTGACGACTTTCAGTCTTTTCTTAACATAAGGGAAAACATAATCCGCTAGAAAATAATTTGAAAAAGTAGTTAATACAAAATTGTTTAGATAATTGTACAACTGTTTACTTGTTAAGATTGTTCGTCGTTTATGTTGTTCTGCTGGGGTGCCTCGAGGTTTGCCTTCTTTTGTGAAAGGTGTTTCGTACATGAATTGGTCAACGTTGTGGTTCTGCTCAAAATCTGTTTGCCGTGAGACCAACTCCGCTTTTTCCCAGTAGGGCACAACACTAGTGACTTGAATGTATGCAATTTTGTTGTCAAGATCACTTTCTACTACCTGTAATAATAATTTATTATTGTACAATAATCACATATCATGAAATCACACATCAAAAAAAAAAAAAAATCATCTTACTGGTGCAGAATCCATTATGATTTTCACAGCCCCCGCACCGAATTTGTTAGAGTACTGGTTCATGAGCCTTTCTGATATTTCTGAGAGCGATGTCAACTTCGGCTCTTTGTAAATATACTCCACGCCACTTTCTTTATCGAAAAATGCCTGTAAATATTGAGAAAAAAACTGTAACAATTGAGGAAAAAATGCTAAAATAATTGCAACACACCTGATTGTAAAAGACAACGCGATAATATCGACCAAGAAGGCGTTTTCCTTGTACGGCATTGATTTTGGCAATAGCTTGTGAGAGGGTGAAATAAGCCCTGGACATTGACGTGTAGTCCCTCCTTCTCTGATAAATCGGTAGGATCAAGTTGTAGAGGAAGTAGAGACACTCGTACCTCTCAGCTTTTTCCAAAAGCTCAGCACACACCTCAAGTTGCTCGACCAAACCTTGCTCTGTATATTGAACATCTTGTACACCTAGAAAAAACAAAAACTAAAAATAAACTAAATTTTGTTAAAAAGTTACATAACAAAATAGTTAAAACATCTCTAACAAAAAATACTTGTACTACTGGATTGTCCCAAGAAAAGTCTGTTTTTTACTGTAACAACCAAAATCGAAAACCAGAGCAACGTAACCAAATTCGACTTGTTCAATTAAATGGCATGCTCCAGAGAATTTGTCAATTTAATTATAAATTTCAATTTAATTATACTTTTTGTTTAAGGTGTTGATGGAAATGAAAAAGTTAGTTTCACAAGTGGGACTTCAACCCAAGACTTACAGCTCAATACGCCGCTGCTGTAACCACTTGAGCTACTGTGACTTTGATCCACTCGAACACCAACTCCTTATCTCAACCTACAATCTTCGAATTTTTCACTCTTTTTGCCATATTTTCAAAATTGATTTTTAATATATGAATTAATTAAGAATTTGACTAAACGAAGTTCTAATTATCAAGATTAGTTTACTTAATTTGAATACAACATATTTTATCCAAAAGCCAATTTTTCATTTACTTTCCAACAAATCATTTCATAAGTCAAAGTAGAAAAACATAATAAATGTATTTTAAGTTAATATATGGAGAAATTAAATTTGCTGAATTGACAAAGAAAATTAACATAAAATCGTCACAAATACCTGAATCTAATTTCAAGGATGTTTCATCTCTGATGATGTTTGCTGATATTGGCGAGAAGGCTTCGGCGCCCCAGTCCTGTTCGCCTTTCAGTTTTAAATACTGAGCCATCAGGGCGGCAATGTGCAGTTGGCAACAAGCAGCCTAAAATGTAATTAAACCATAAAAAAAACAGCCCAGAACCTTTTAAAAACAACATACCTCAGAATAATTGGCAAGATTGGAATGGTTTCGTGTCATTGTCTGCAACCAAGTGAACCTGAGCTCGGGTGTAGAAGCGTACGAATTGGCCAGTGAGTGTTGTAAGTCTGTGAGCACTTCTGGTTCATGGTGTAACTCCTTCATTTGAGCTGTTGCCATCAAGACAGTCCTGATCCTTTTAGTGAGATCTTTCACTTCAGTTGGAAACCCTATTTTTGAAACATTTATTATTGTTATTAAACTGCAAGACAAGGTAGGTAGTTTAACGGGTAAGAAAGAACTAGTCATCCGTGAAGGACTTTCACCCAGCGTGACTAAATATGAAAAGCTTCCTTTAAAGTGGGAACTAGGGAAGTAGGAGAGGGCACACAAAAAAATGTATCATACCTGTTCCTTTCATCACTTTATCACTTGTAGCATAACTGTTAATGAGGGACAAAGACTCTTGAAATCTTGCATTGTTGAGACCGACTATGTTTCCCAAGAGCTGAGATACTGATATTATCACCTGTAGACAAAAAGAATAGATTATGGTCACTCCTTCATAAATGAAGCAGTTGGTGGAGAGGGGATGATTGAAAGAATTGGTCTAATTTTTTAAACCAGCCTAGTAACCACATATGATATCATCACTCAGCCCATGCATCTTGCATCATTGTTTAATGAGGAAATAATTATACTTTTTTGGATTATTGGTGTAAAGTGTTTTCGTTAATTAACTTAAGCAGTCGCTATCCTGCTTAAAAATATGGTGAAAACATGTCGAATGAAACATTTACATCATTTATCAAATTTTATTAAATAAATACTCATAAAATGACTTTGGTGTTTTTAATCTTGGCCAAAATTTAATACTGTGTAGGGTGTTTAAATATAAATACGATTTGTATGGCACAACGTTTTGGCATATTTATTTTCTGAAGATTTTTTTTTTATATTGTTACGTGGGCAGGATCTATATTACACAAGCATATTTATATAGGTTGTTGCTACAAATGTATCACAGTATTGTAATAACACCCTTTCTTCCCAAGATGTTGATCTCCGGGTATGGAAACAGAAAGGGATACAAAAATAAAATAATTTAAATGAAAACCAAAAACAAACAAATAAATATATTCTCTCAACTTTACAAGAGTGCCCGAATAAACCCTACACCAATATTATCTAATCAAATATTTTTCTCGCCTGATTTTCCCTCTTTCTCACTTTAAAGATTCAACCTTTAAGACGTCCCGAGCGCAACTGCCTTCATTCGCCCAATCCTTCAGACCCTTTAAGTTGGAGGGGGTTTCTTCACCCTTACGGGGTCTCCTTCTGTTGAGGATTCCTTGGCCCGTGACCGTGACATGTCCAGGAACCCTGAATATCTTAAGCCTGTTGACCTTCCTCTTTTCCAGTTTAAAGTGTCCTAATGGAATTTCATAAATTTAGCCCTGATCACCTCACTGATGCTCGAGTTCCCAGTGTAGTTGGAGATTTATAATGAACCAGACCAGTGAGCATCCACTGTTATCTTGTTAGGGCCACAACCCCAGGTGTCACTCGCTTTTAATAGCATCGGCCTAAATATGTCCTTGTTAATTAACCATTGAGGCTTGACTTTCTGTTTAGTATGCGGTATACTTGCAAGCTTGGTGTATACTTTGTTTAATAGAAATAGGAGGTTCCTTCCTACAATCCACCCAAAATCTAAGCAGTATGTAAAGATTGACAAATTGATCAAATATGCATCAAAGGAACAGAGAATGAATACCTCATCAGTTGTCTTAGAAACACTATTAAAATAGAACAGTTAAATCTAATTCCTTAAATTCACTAATTTCGTGGTCCGCTTGACCAATTAATATATTACAATTAATTAAGGTTTTTAGTTGAGATAAAAAAGTCAATGGCACGAGCGGGATNTTGAAAAATGGCAAAAAGGAGGGAAAATTCAAAAGGTGGGGTTGAGATGGGAAGTTAGTGTCCGAGTGGATCGAGGTCACGATAGCTCAGGTGGTAGAGAAGCGACGTATCTAGCCGAAGATCGTGGGTTCGAATCCCGCTCGTGCCATTGACATTTTTATCTCAACTAAAAACCTTAATTAATTGTTAAATCTAATGTTTACTGTACACGATTGGAGTGACAAGTCTGCAATTGAGCAAAAATGACTGATATCAGTCTTTATAGACATGCCGGAAATTGTTAATGTTTGATGCTAGTCTGAGTACTGCCCCCTCAGATTTTTGCTTATTCCAAGCTATAGTAAATCTCTATTTATAAGAAAAAATTTATTTCACCTGAAGACTGCAGAAAAAACATTGAAGAGTTAATTGCTCAAAAACCTGAGAGGTTTAGCAGTCATAATTGACCATATTAATATTCCAATTAATTATTCTTTCTATGTAAGGTATTGATTGAGATAAAAAAGTCAGTGTCATGAGCGGGATTCGAACCCACGACCTTCGGCTCAATAAGCCGGTGCTCTAACTACTTGAGCTATCGTGACTTCGATCCACTCGGACACCAACTTCCCATCTCAGCCCACAACCTTTCAAATTTTCCCTCTTTTTGCCATTTTTCACTTCATAAATCACTGAGAATCGAATCCTGATTACACAGCACTTGATGAAAAATTCGAAAGGTTGTAGGTTGAGATGAAGAGTTGGTGTCCGGGCTGATTGAAGTCACAATAGCTCAAGTGGCCGAATTTAATAATTTAGCCGAAGGCCATGGGTTCAAATCCCGCTCGTGACACTGACTTTTTCGTCTCAAGCAAGACCTCAGATAAAAAGAATAATTAACATTAGCAGTCATAATTGACCATATTAATTATTCCAATTAATTATTCTTTTATAAATATTAATATTTTTTTGTTTTTTAAATATATAATACAATAATAATATACAAATTTGTTAGTTCAACATACACAATTCATTGTACTGTGATGTTAACTTTAAAATCAGTACCTCAACATTAATTGGTCATACAGCTGTTTATAAAAATTAAACTTGAAATTAGAAAATACAGCACCTGAAAGTAAGTAGTACCAGTAGATACAGTACATAACGTAGGTATCAAAAATTCACATAATGTGCTTTTCAATAACTTTTGAAAGATATTAATATTTTATTAATTTTGCTATTTTATTTTAAAAAATTGTTTTCACCATTGTTTGGTTATCATGAGAGGAGTAGTTATGGACCAGAGTAGATTCACAATATTTAAGGGGTAATCCTAAGTGAAATTCCTCAAATGTTGTTTTTGGGTATTATATAAATAAATAATTTATTTTACTGTTTTTTTGTTTTTTGTTTTTGACATTGGACAGAATGTCACGTTTTGTCATTTTGAGTCAAGAGTAAGTAATATTATACCGTTAAAATTTGGCTTTCTTGACAACAACAAAATTCAGTCGAGTATACCGAGACATCCATCAAAAGTGGGAATACACTATAAAACAGAGCAAGTAAATTGAATTTAATGTAAGCTCAAAGAACTTGGTCTAAAGTTTAAAATAAAGGTAAACGTTGTCAATTAAAACATCACATACACTACCAACAGTAGTATTAACAAATCCATTTAGTCCATTTTGTGAGGGCTCCATTACCAGGTCTCGGATAACCCCGGATTAACCAGAGGCCATTTTTGTTATACCATTTTCCTTGGTTCTGTGTATCACTTGCAAAAAAACACATGATCCCAATTGAGGTAGGTTTCATAATGATGGTTTAAAAAAAATTGACCAAAATTTGTCTGATTCATCCTGTGCAATTGTTTTTATTCTTAAACTTTAATTTAGTTTAAAAAAAAAGTACTGACCTGCAAGTGCACCCTCGTTAAGCCTTTTCTAGAAGAGAATTCAAAGTTGCTCCTCATCAAGAGGTAAAGAATGGCACAAGATTCTTGCCGTATAGCTGACAAACGGCTGTTGCAGCATCTGAGCAGTTCCAAACAGAGTTGGCCGCAGAGAGTAGCGTTGCCTATTAAAAATGGACAATTTAACGACTTACACACACTCTCAACTTGGCAGGTTTACCTTGAAACAACGGTTTGGAGAAATTGTTGATAAAAGCTCTGAGTGCGGCGAACACATGCCTGAAAAGTGTTTCTGACTGTCCTACTTGTAAAAAGGACAAATAGAGGTTGAAAAGTGAAGACATAACTGGATTGTCGCCACCGTCAGACATCAAAATGTCCCTGAAGTGGAGGCAATAAAGGCCGAGAGTGTCCAAAACTGTCAGGCCGACCTCAGTTGCTAAATTCGCTTCTAAAAGTGCCTGGTATAATGAAGAGGATTCACTATCTGAAAAGTTTAATCACAAAACACAAATTAATAATTTTAAAAAAAGTATTTTTAGTTTAGTTGTTTTCTATCATTTTGGTTTGCTAATAAGTGTTTGTACTTTTTATATTGATTATCTGTTGGCTTTAGCTTTCTTAATTCATTTATTTGACATTCACTACTATTTACAATAATAGATTGTAGCATAGTAACTATAGCGCTCTTTCCCAAATATGAACATTCCAGTACAACAAAAACAAATTGCTAAAAAAAATTGAAGAGGAGGGAGGGAGGGAGAGAGAAAGATGAGCGAGATGAGAGAGAGAGAGCGAGAGAGAGAGAGAGAGAGAGAGAGAGAGAGAGAGAGAGAGAGAGAGAGAGATCAGTGGCCTCAAAAGTTTAGGTGCAAGAGGGGATTGATATCATGGCGGTATAATGACAGTTAAAGGAGGTCAGAAATCGGAAGCCGCTGTCTCTCAGCCCCAGACCTGGGCCTGGCAATGCTCCCCCCCCTGGTCCGTTAGCTGGTCAACGTTCTTTGGGCCACGCACGCACAAGCACACGCCATACACACACACGTGCGCGCACACACAAGCACGTGCGCGTGCACACACACACACACAAGCATGTGCGCGTGCACACACACACACACACACACACACACACACACACACACACAAGCACGTGCGCGTGCACACACACACACAAGCACGTGCGCGTGCACACACACACATACACACACACACACCCGCGCATGCACGCACGCACACACACGCATGCACGCACGCGCACACACACACACACACATTGGGAGACACCAAGAGAGCAAGCAATATAAATCAAATTAAGCAAAACCAAAAATTCAGGAGTTTGTATTTAAAAAAATTAATTTTAATGATTTGGAAAATAATTTATCAAAGCACCAGAATACCATTTATTGATAGAATGAATTTAACTGACAATTTATTACATGGTTTTGTTCATAAAATTTAAGTAACAATTTATTATACGGTTTTGTGTAACATCAGAACTGGACACTCATATTTTTTGTAGTTTATTTCAAACTATGTATATGTAATTTTGTCATTATATTAATTACATGCTTATTTAAATGTAAACCAAATTAAACGAGATCAAAATTTTTTTAGTTTTTATAAAAATTATTCTATTAAGATGGTTAGGCAGAAAATTTATCAGAACACCAGAATTACTTTATTTAAAACAATAAATTTAACTATTTATTACATAGTTTTGCTCATAATAACGTATTAACAGCAAGAGAGGCGTTGCGATTGTGATACAGATTTGCAATACATGCTGTGTGTCATGCACGTATGTGGCATGCACTTGACAGCGATCAAATGTGCACACTGTACCAAAATGAGACAAGGAGTCGGATAGCAAGGGTCACATCACGCTGCGTGGGGTATATTCCCCACTTTACGTAATCCAATTACCCAGCAAAAATTAGTTTGGGTTAGAGAGAGAGAGTACTGATTAGAGGAATGGAGAGTGTACTGCGGCTGATATTGAAAGTGTCCAACTTACACTGTCCAGCATTTCGATAGTGATAATGATAAGTTTAAATTTTGTAAATAAATATTATAGTTAAAACAGACCTCTCAATGGTGCTGATTCTCTGCCAATGCTGTTGCTCCCACTGAGCAAAGGGTGATGATAATTGTTCGTAACAGGAGTGTTGTTTCCCGTCTTTTCTGCATCATTTGTAAAATCTGGAGGCTGCATCCTAGCAGGGAGTGTCATCGATCTGCTCCCTGCCCTTCTGTTCACCACTGGGTTCATACTGGCTGCTGATGAATTTTCCGTTTCATTCGCAATCTGTCTCCTTCCTGTGTATTTAAACTCATGGAGGCACATCCTGGAGAAATAAAATTTGAAATACCATGTTTTTTTTGTGTTTTTTTTTGTGTATGACGGTCAATACTTACTGAATTATCTTGAAAAAGCTTAATATCTCGTCCTGAGTGCAATTATGCCACCATGATATTATCTGGTCATGTGACAAGTGTTTCAGTACAAAAAGAAAACAAATGAGGATATCTTTTACTTCAGAAGGAAGTAGCTTATCACATTTTAACACTGGAGTAGCCTGCGTTCCGCTTACAGATCTATAGAAGAAAGAAAATGAACATAAAATTAAAAATAAATGACATAAATTAAACATCAAATAATAAATTAAAACCAAACCTAGCGTGTTTGGTGGAGACGATAATATTTTCCCCTTCTCGGTGAATGGCTGTTTCTTGTGAAATAGTCGTCCCATCACCGGAGACAGTTGATGCTTGGGAATCGAGACTTATTTTTGAACCAGCATCAGTCCCATTGGCCACTACTAAAGTAGAAAGAAATAACTGATGACTAAGTGACTGTGTTTCCGATGTTTTATGAAAGGTTTGGATTAACTGACCAAACATCCCATCCAAATCTTTGATAAAACATGGAGATGCTATACCAAATTACTTTGTTTAAAAAACAAATAAATAATTCTTACCTGGCCCAGCGATGGCTGCTAAATAAGTAGAGTCCCGGACGTTTAGCGATGTCCTGAGGGATACGCTGTCCTGATGGAAAGTGAACCTGTGAGGAGGCTTGCTAGGGGTCGAAATGACCGAACTTGCCGCCGAACTAACTCCAGGGGAAGCAGTTTGAGTTATGTCCGTCAACCTTTGCAGGTTCTCCACGACTATTCCCAGCCATGGAATATATAAAGCAGCTATCCTTGCGAGTTGACCCTGAAAGAAGATTAAGATAAAAAAATTAAGTTAATGGGTAAATTTAAAATAAAAATTACTTTTGACTGGTATCTGTCGTCGAGTTCGTGTTTAGCGAGTAGGTCTCTGAGGGTTGTGATGGAGGCATGCCGGATGGTCGATTCCTGATTGAGGGCTGATTTTGTCTCAAGTAGGAGAAGGCCGGCGAGGTAGTGCTGCTTGCAGAATTCCTCTGAAAGCCAATAATCACAGCCGTCGTTGTTTCGCCCCTTGATCCGTAGCAAGGGCAAATTGAAAGCGACGTAATGTTCATGCGAGCAAATTATATTGATGAAGGTGTATTTGAGGTCGTGCAAGATCCTGGCTTCACCGCTGAACGTCGAGACGTACCAGGCGATCAACTTCAGAACAAATCCCCGGTCGAGAAAACTCAGACACCTCTGAGTAAAGAAAATTTATTTTAATGATGCTCTTAATTATTGAACAATGAAGGCAGTACCTTAAGAAAATTTGCAATGCTGGTATTTAACTGCTTCGTCTCTTGCGGCATTTCACGATATTTTGACAATAAGTAAGGATTCAAAACATTTAGAAGGTTTTCGATTTTGCTTAAAAATTCAGCCTGAAATCTCTCATGACGATGCATCTAAGAAAAGAATATAAATTTCACATAACAATACATTTTCACATAGCACAATCAAATAAAAAACACGACTACATGAAATATTTTGCATTTATTATGTACCTTGATTCTACCAGTGTTGAGTAAATGTTGAGCCATAGATTTTACCATAACTTGGAAAAAAAATCCGGAATGTGATAAGAATTTATTTACAATTAGAAAATCAGTGTTATTTTGGTAGAGGAGGGATGGAAGATGATTTGCAAGCTCTTCGTGAACTGTACGTCCGTTTGATGATTCGCCGACAAAGACAAACTGAAAACGAAAATTTAAGCTCTACTATAATGGTAAAAAATCAATCACAACACACCTTGACATAAGTGTTAAGCGTCTCGCTTCTGTCAGACCCATGAACCATTGAAACGATGTGAATTAAAAGCCTGATGATGTTTGTAGCGACATCGTGACTTGGAGACTTTACAAGGAGGGAAAACAGCTGGTTCAAAACAGTCGGAAGGAAAGCTATTGCTGAGTTAAGTTGTACAGCATGAGTGGCCTATCAATTTAACATTAAAATCATGAGATATTGAAGTCTGCAGCATGATGATTTAGTTTGGATCAACATGTTTAGCTTTTCCAATGAGAAATGACCATATTATATAAAAACAATTACCTTTAATATTTTGCATGTTTCAATATCAGGTGGTGGGACAGTCTTGGGCGAATGTAGTTTTTCAGCGTGTGAAAAAAGGTTGTGAAGGTGCTGATCCATTGTGTGGACAGTGGAGAGGAGGCTGAAGCTGACAGTAAAGAGTGACCTTTGCCCATCAATCCATACCACTTCAGGACCAGAAAACTATTAAAATTGGATTAATTGGATCATTAATTTTTCGATTTGGCCAGTTCTGTCGAAGAAAAAAAATTACCCCTTTTCCTAAACCTAAAGGCTGCACCGATAAATATCCAGGGGGTAAGTTCGCAGCAACTGGCAATGTTTGTTCATCCAAATTCAACCTTAAAACATTAAAGTTCAAAAATTGGCTCATTCCGACTATCAGAAATACAATACCTATTTTTATTTAGTAGAGGGACCCAAACGTATCCTACGGGCGTTTCAAGCCCTGTGTCTTTTTTCTTCGAGCCTTCGACAGATATGTGGTAGAACGTGAAAAGGATATGATGCGAAGGTAAAATACACGTTGGAAGACGAATTTTAATTTCATCGTACCAAGACGGAGTCGTGTTATGATGCAGAATGCAACAACTATCCCAGCTTACGAACTCTCCTTGTTTCCTCCTCCCGTAAATGCACTATAACCACCACAAATTAAATTATAACTAAAATTTTCAAAATAATAAGTACCAAAAGAAAAAAAATTACAGGAATCGGTTGGGACGTAATTGAATCTGAATCTTTAATTTGAACCACACATGCAATGTTGCGTGCTCTGTTGAAGCTCTTCTGTGTGTCGAACAAGAGCGACTGAGGGTAAATGTACAGGTGGTTGTAAAAATAAGTATAAGGATAAATTTTTGGCGCCAACTCGGCTACTTCAAGGGTTGGCTCGGAACTTGGCGGAAGTGGGAATGGCTTCAAGGGGTTAAGGCCACTTGTGAGTGTGTCTGAAAAATTCACAAAATAGAAATGTACTAAAATATTTCCCCCTCATCTAAAAAATGATAAAATAAAGCAATATTGAAATTAAAATTAGATTTTTCACAGGCCACTGAGAATCACCTACTTCGGTTTTGGCAGTTCAGGATTAGACCTTAATCTATTCCATTTTGCCCACCGAAGTTAGGCTCAATTATCGACACCTAGGTCATTTCAACCCTCAATGCATGCATATTAAAAACTAAACTTTCTCTACTCATCCATTAATAAAGCCTATGATTCAATTAAAAAATTTAATTCCCATTATTATAAATATAATTGTTATTATAATAAAATATTAAATACACACTCTGTGGAATGTCGTTTAAAAGCTCGACCTTGATCTGCAGCCATCCGGGTATCACTGGTAATTTACCAAGTTTGTCTGGTCTATTACAAAATGACATTTGTTTATTTATTGTACAATACAGCATAATATTATGACTTATTCAACCACTAAAAATTACAATTAAAAAATGCATCTAATCGTTTAAAAGCAACGAGTGCAATTTCATTATCATTATATTATTTTAATAAAAAGTAGCTCACTTTCTGAACTCGGCAAGTGTTTTGATGAGCTCCTCGTCTTTAAGCTTGCCAGGCTCCTGTCTGTAAATGGCACTGAAGTCAGATACCGTATCGGGTTCGTTGCTGTAAAGCCTGAAGAGCGGCCGGGCCGTCCAGCCAAATGGCATTCTGTACTTGCCAAGCCTGTAAAAGGGGAAAATTTTCAAAACGCCCACAAGATGAAACTTGTTACACAAAACTATAATAAATGAACATTTTAAAATTGAAAATTTTGGAATGACAAAGAGATATGGTAAAGTGAAGGTAATAATTATCTTCTGTTTGAAATGTCCATCACCAGTCTCTAACAAGAGAACCACAGTGGCTCAGTGGTTAGAGCGTCTGACTTGTATTTATATATAACCATGTTAGCGGTTCTAGGTTTGAATCCCTGTAGAGCCAGTGGCATTTAATAATAAGATAATTAAGAACAATGTAGAGTAAAATGGTTTGACCCTTCTCCACAACACCCAATGTGGACTCCTGGTGGACGTTCTGCCCTCCTATGACTACTTAGTTCTACCAACAACAGTTGTATGTATTATGTACTTTTATTTTAACTGATTAAGAAGGAAAAAACAAAAGCAAAATATATCAGGAAAGAAACCTTTTTGATGCCAGAAACACAGCCTTCTCTGACGTTAAGAGGTCCACTCGAATCTCCTACATTTTAAATTTTTCACCACTTCATTATAACTATTAATATTCCATTGATTTGGAAAAATAGAAGAAAAATAAAACAGTTTCAGAAACATCCCCAATACAGGGAATATCAGGACTCTTTTGAAACATTTTTGAACAGTTTCTATAAAAGGTTCCGGAACGAAGTTCCTCAGTTTATTAGACATAACAGGTAAAATATCCAACTTAAATTAAGTACTAACATAATCCTACAAGAAAATATTGGGCTGATGCAAAAAATAATACAGGTTTTGAAAAGGCTTTCAAAACTATTTTTAATTTGAAGAAAGCAAAGAAAATTTATTTGAAATATTTTCCAACACAATCTATCCTTCTTTGCCAACGAGTAATAAGCGTTTTTATTCTGCTGACATAAATTTTTTTATCTTGACTCACAATAAAGTCATGAAAGGTGTTTTCCGCTTCATTGCTTTCTCTAAAAATTTTATCCCTCAAGAAGTGATCAAAATGCCCAAAAAAGTCTGTAAGAAGTCAGGTGAATATAGGTGTGGTAAGGTTTCATATCATAATTCCGTAAGTTTCTGTAAGGTTGGCATTGTGACATGTGGCCTGGTGTTATCATGAAGAATTGGCCCCATAGTTTTACCAATGCTAGACAAAGATGTTGTAGTTTCCATATATTTTGTCAATTTCTTGGCAATATTTTTCTGCTCGGATAGTTTCACCGTAATTCAGGACATTATAGTGAACAACCTCCAAAAGTACACCACCAGTCACCATAACCTTTTTTGGGAGCAGATTTATTTTCAGGAAGTGTTTTAGCACTCGTCCAACCACTGACCTGTACAGCTCCTGTTATCGTACAGAATCCTTTTCTCATTGCACGTGATGATTCGATCAAGAAATGGTTTTTGGTGGCGCAACAGAAGAGACGTGCAAATTTCAAAGCGTCAATTTCTTTGGGCTTTGTTAGTTCTTAGTACCCACTTGTCGAGCTTCTTTACTTGACCAATTTGCTCCAGATGGCGAACAACGGTTAAGTAGTCAACACTAAGCTCTTCCGCAATTCCCCATGTTGTCTTATGTGAATTTTCTTCAATCAGCGTTTTGAGTTGGTCGTCGTCAACGGAAGGCCTACCGCGACCCTGCCTGTCTTCGAGATCGAAATCTCCAAGACGAAATCTCTGAAACCATCGCTGCACCGTACATTCACTAATGTGTCCCTCCCCCCAAATTGTATGATTTTGCCCAAGTTTAAATTCATACAAAAAATTCAACAAAAATCTCGTTTGGAGACATTTAATTTTGTAGGTCTTCAATCTTATCAAATTCAATATAAACTAAAATGTTTTGTATAAAATGTAACAGTTAAAAATATTTATTATAATCCATAAATTAGAATTGTGGATTTATCTTTGTTTACATGACAAGCACCTGCGAAAATAAAAAAATTTTCAAAACCTGCATAAATTTGCACCAACCTCAAATACAAAACAATAAAAAGTACAAAAATGTATACCTTTGGGCAGATGTTTGAATAGTTTTATGAACTTTGAAGCCAAGTTTTGGGTCTTTCGCCGTCCTCATGTATGGTTCTGCTGCTTGGGCTATACTTCCCTGAAGGATTTTTTCTATTCTCACAACAATATAAATCTCGGAGTGAACGTTACTTACGCTGAAAATAGCCTACAAAATCAAAATATTCAAATGAGTACATACAAAAATGTTTTATTTTGAACAACGCACCTGTGTTGGGTTATCGAGCCAGTTGTCGAGATTGCCGTCAGGCATTCCAACCGGTAATGTGGGTCCGTCGGGAGGCAGAATCATCCCTGTGACGGCATCACAGGATACCTCCCAATGGAAGTCCTCGGTGAGCTTGCGCCCCTCACGCACATCAAACAAGCTTATGACTAAAAAATACGGTTCGATCTGAAAGTACGCGTCTTTTTCGGAAGTGATAGCAGCCTGGAGGCGGAACCTCAGATTGAGACACTTTACGAGGATCCTTTGCCCAAAGTGTTCACGAAATGGTTCGGCCACTTCGTTGGGATTCGCAACTTTGGTATGCTGAAAATTTGCAAAAGAAACACTAAAAATGCATCCAATGACAGTAGCAACTGTGAATAATATAATAATATATAATATAAATATTTAATATAAATAATAATATATAAACTTAGATTTAATTCATGTTCTTTTCTATTATTTGTGTCCATAAAAACACTATTTTACTATTAAAAATAATCTATTAAAAATAAATAAAATTAAAAAGTTGGTATGTTTATATATTTTTTTAAATTACAGGCATAAAAGGATAGACAGAAAATAAACGCCTTCTATTTTCTTTTCTAGCCAGTGAGATGGAGGTGTCTGTTTCCCTTGCGTACTTCATCAATTGAGGATTCACACTTTGTTCCAGGCCACGGAGTGTTCCATAAACATTAAGCATCGTTTCAGAGTTGGGCGTTTGAGGAAGCGATGACGTTGAACAAGCTGTACAATTAATAAAATGAATTAAACATCAAAATAAATTCAAATAGATTTATTTATAAACAATTTAAACATTACTTCTTTCCAAAGAGCCAGCGCGTTTTTCCTCCTGTAGTCTGTTCTGTTGCAAAACAAGCTGGAGCTTGCTTATCCAATCGTTTACATCTTGCTCAGATTCGGCTGCCAAACAAAACGATTTATGGCCAGCAGTCATGTGCAATTCAAAACACAACTTCCCTTTTTTATTGTTCTAAAAAATTTATACATTCAGAAATAAAGTAAGTGTTCGAATAAATTATAGAATTATGCAAGTACCTTCACTACTTCATAACAGAAATCCATAACAATGGTATCCTTTGCTTCACCTTTCTTTTCATCTTTGTGCAATTCTAAAATGTAAGTCCCATCAACCTCACGCCTAAAAAAAAGTTTACTATAAATATTTTTATAACAGGATATATCTTATTTATTTTCAGGATCTTTTAAAAAATAAATAAATATGATGAACTAAATTTATTTTCATTTAGTGAGAAATTTGAAAATTTATGAAATAAACTTACCTTAAATAACAATAACGCCGTTTGAATGATTTAGAACCAATATTAGGGAACATTTTGTCACTCCCAACTTCAGGCCCTTTCATAAGATAGCCCTCTTTGCTGACACCATCGGTTGGTCTTTTTTCGTCCTAAAATATTTGTTTTTAAATATAAAATGTTTTAAAGGATATAAATAGATAAAAACAAATTAATAATACATACATCATCGAGTTGGTCTAAATCCGTATCGACTTCATACACTTCGTCTTTTAATTCGTCCGATTTTAAAATCCTTGAAAATTCAAAACAAACAATGATGTCAGAATAGAAAATTTCAAATGAGAAAACGACAAACAATTTACTTTGGCAGCTCCAAATAGCTTCCGGAGTACGCGCTGTACTTGTAATGGATGGCGTTCCAGTTGGCGTTGTAAGTTTTGAGGCATTCTTTTGAAAATAGGGAACAATCTTGCAGTTCGTTCAACGGCGGCGAAGTTGGATGTACTGTTCTGATTTTTTTAGGCCAAACAGTTTGCTATAAAATTTCCCCCGTTATTTACTATAAGTAATGAAAATATGGTATTATGTTCACTTACTGATATGTCATCAGAAGGGTAGAGCAGTAACTCTCGTTGTGGATCATTCTGCAGTATTGTTTTATTTTTCAAAATATAGTTTTCAAAATCTAGAGGCTCCACCAGATGTAGTTTATTCTATATTAAAAACAAAAAATTATAAATAGATAAAATATAATTAATCTTACTCGTTACCGATTTATTGAAAATCTTTTTCTTATTCATATTTATTTTAAACAAATTAAAGACAGAAATAGTTGTAAGGTTACTTCATCCTACACAGGTCACTACAGCCTATTTATTATCTCGGTTTTGTTAATCTATTTCATTATGTAAACATCGTTGACAATTACAGCATTGTTTAAGTTCACTGGTTTGGAATTTGACCTTTTATTCCATTGGCGATACCACACCAAGTGCATTTATTATGAATCTTATGATTTTTTCCCTTCTCCTCACACCATTAACCACACATAATAGTTACCATGGTCTAGCTGTGTTTTCAATTAATGAGTAAGTACAGATGGTTAAAAAAAATCTATTACAAAAACCACTCACAGAGAAATATTTTATGAGGTCTACTTCGGTCTATTTAGTTCTAATGTGAGAAAGTTATGTTAAGGGTGCATTAAGTAGAGAGTAGATAGTATAATCGATGTAGCCTAACTGAACAAAATAACTAAGGAATAGTATCGCTAGAACAAGTAATTGGATAGTAGTTTTACAACCAATAAATTTTTCGGTTTGGTTATTTAAAATAAAAAATCAATTTATTGCTTGACCCATTTCAAAAATTTCTGCAAAATACATTAACGTCCAACTACCTGTGGTCAAACCACCTTTTTACATATTTTTACCAATAACGGCTGAGCTGGGATTCAAACCCAGAATTGCTAACATGGCAAATACAAGTCGGGCCCTAGCCACTCGGCCACTGCGGTCCTCTTCAAAAATTATCTATAATCATCAAAAAGTGTCACGGTTGAGGGGCTTTGTCATTCATGAATAGAAAAAAGATGTTTTTATACACTATCAACCAGCTCTAATTCATTGATAGTTTATTCATTAACGGACAGTAATTGAAACAAAATTTCCAGACCTAAGTTCCAAAAAAGAATGGAAAAGAGGGAAAGACCCCTCCATTGAGAAAGGTACCATTTGTTAGGTACACTGATTAATCTAGAACACAATAAAGTACAGGGACAGGAGTATTCAGTTCAAACCAAATAATAAGAACCCCTGGATAAGTACACTAGTATCTTCCAGGATAAAGTCCAAGCACTCGAGAGAATTCAGTTCAACTTGTAAAATGGATACAAAAGCAAGATCATCAAAAGCAACATGCCATATAGTCAGACAACCATCAAAGTGCAATCATCATTAGGTCAAAGATGGTGCTGGATTTCAAAAATAATTAGATAAGCAAAATAATATTACTCTGTATTGGGTCCCAGGACATGTGAGAGCAGAGGGCTACAAGAGAGCAGACGTTCATACAAGAAAAGGGGCTGCTATATTGCTGACAGGTCCTGAGCCCTTCTGTGGCATAGGGATTCATATACTACCAATAAGTATACTCGGATCAAAAAAACAATAAATTAATTAATTTTAAAAAATGAGGAAACCATGCAATTCACTCTACACGATACAAACAATCCAAGAATCTTCTGGCAAGTTTTGGAAAGAAAGAACCAAAGGAATGCATTTAAAGGAAGCAGGAAAAAAAACAGTGAATCCTTACAGGATTCTAAACAGGACATTGCGGACTGAATTTGAAGAAGACTGGCATAATCCAACATGGTACTCACAAATTCTACAAGGAAGCTGAGGAGACACCAATGCACCTACTAACAAACTGTGGTGCTACATTTCACCTTGGAAGGAGTGTTTTGGGTTGTACACGTAGAAGAAATGCAACCATTGAAACCAGGCCTGGTAATCAAACTTCTTGAAAAATTTGGTTTCATGGTGTGCTATAGGTAAACAATAGCGGATACAATAGTGCTCATATGGCGCAGTATATTACACCAGATATTATGTCTACATCTAAGATTAATTTGTGAGATTTCTCCAAGTGATCTGTGGTGTAATGAACTGTGGTTGCGTAGTTTTCATTTTGATGCTCTTATCCCGATTTGGTCTGCCAGGCATGTTTCGGCACTTAGCCAGCTTCAGTGGTGCATTTGGTATTTTTCGCATCAATTTAATTTTGTACAAATATTAAATCATTGTTGTTAGGCCTTTTATTTTGAATTATTAGATCAAGGATATGACTACTATATAATTGAAAACTGCTGGTTGATCGTCCTTTTTTTATTTTGAAGACAGGTAAAAGCCTAACATCAATGATTTAAAAATGATGTGGCTTTCCTCCTTGTAAGTTATCTCAAGAAAATTGCCATGAAACACCCATCAGTAATGAGTATAAGCTGAGAGGCATTTCATAGATTTTAAAGTCATTGTGATTCACAACAAAGTCCAAAAACTCAATGATTAAATAAATATTAAACATGATAGGTAAACATTGTGAGCAATATGATTTGTTTGTCAAAAGGTTTAATTGAAGAAGAAAACCTCTTATGCAAGACGGTCATAAGGTTGTTGCAGATGCATTGAAGATGGCAAAATGCTGAAAGACGTTTGACAGGCCAACTCAGCAAGCAGACCAAGATGATCAATAAGGATTAAGTCCCCGAAAACAAGTAAGAAACAGCCAAGTTCCCTTTCTCTTTTTTATTACCCTAATTATACAGCAAAGATAGGCAGACCGTAATAATCAAAACAACAATTCGTTAAATTCTTAAGTTTGCAAGATGTTGAGGACAAGTAGTAATTTTGCTGTATGCCATCATCCAAGCCTTTTGTCATCGTCAGTATGTTTGTGATCATAGATAACCTAATACAAATTCACTTCGCAGACCTCAAACGGTATCCCACAGTTGAAATTTGTCAACCAACTTTCTCATCAGAGTAATACGATTGATGTATGGGTAAAGTAATATGTTGCTATTGAAATGCTAGGAGCACGAACTGAACAAGTAAAGTTTGATACTCAGGATATAAAGGAATGTCAGCTGTATAATGTAACAACATGAAATTAACAAAGTTGTTCAACTTAGACAAAATATAAACTCAACTTTACAAAAACTTACTGTAGATGTTTCCCTCCCTTTCAGGGTTTAGTTGTCTATTAGTCTGTACCAAAATTAACCTTCAATTAATTAATTAATTAATTAAATTACCTTTCTCCACCATGAGTATGAAAACCACATGTATTAAAATTAAGCTAATATCATTCTTTTATTCTTACAAATCAAATTTTTATTTATTTGTTTGTTTTTATAAATCCATTCTTTATTATAATATATGTATTATTTTTTTTTTTTTTTTAAACTGTAATTTTTATATAATGAAATATAAGATATCCAAGTAAAACATGATTATTTATAAATATTTCATTTTGTTTTATTATTTTTATTGCCTAATACTGTCCTATGGTTGTTCAAAATCCAACCTAAAGTAAAAATGTATACTTTAATATCACTTATATAGCTTTGATGATGACGATGATGGTGTTGATATATCAAGATGAAAGCTCCCTTTATCCATTGAATAACAAAATTTATTTACATGTTATTTGTCTATACTATTACTATTTTCTTATATGATCAATGCTGCTTTAATGAAAGAAATGAACAAATGAGTAAAATTAATTTTATTAAATAAAAATAAAGCTGAGCTATTAATTTGGATAGAAAATTTTTAGACTTGATTATAAATGTTTTTGGTCATGCTCTGATAGCTGCATAAAGCTGGGCTCCAAAGATGGAAGTTACAAGGTTAACCAAGATAATAGCTAAATAACATTCTTCTGCCTAATAAATAATATTGTTATTGTTACTCAAAAGGGAAAATATTGCTGCGATAACAATTTGTGTAGCTGGCCGTCTCAGGCCATTCTGGTCCGATGGTGTGGTAGGACCACAGATGGCGCAAGCCTAAATGTTGATTTATTACAATACACATTTACAAAACATGATTGAACGCCTAAAAGAACATGCTGACAAAAAAAATTGATAGGGTTATCAGAATTATAGTGTTCGGTAATAGTATTTTGTAGAAACAACATGCATGAGGAGTCAGTGGCCACAACGGTTTAGGTATTGACACGTCGCTCATCACTGTAAGGTAAAGGTCCCGAGTTCAAATCCAGTAGCCTTGCATTCACAAAAAAAAAACAGTGACACCCCTAGAGTTGATTTGACCTCCTCTGCTGTGGCAAATAAATTTTAAAAAAATTCAGCCTTTAATTTTGTGATTGTAAATAAAATGGCAGCTTCTCTAAGTAAAAATGTTCTTAAATGAAACAGCAACAAAACCCACAATGTAATTAGAATGAAATCACAGAGAGAGAAACCAACCTCAGAATAAAGTGTTTGTTATTAAAATAAAAAAGGTTTGATGTCCCAAGTACAATTATATTTAAGTCAAATTCAGACAGATAATCGAGCAAAGCAAGGCAGACTATTTGTATTTGTATAAAAAAACATGTAAGCAAGCAACACCAAAGAAAAAAAATTGGCTAAGGTCCTTATTCAAAAAAGAAGATATTATGTACTAGTATAAACATTTTTATAGTTGGGTGTATCAGATCATTCTGGTCAGCCGGCTTCTCTTTCAGATATTGCATTTCACCATATTTAATGGTTAATTTGATGAAAGTTTTGGATAGATAAAAAGCTAAATGAGCAAATTATCAGTTTGTTGCAGTTGTTTGTAGAAACAACATGGAGCAAGTAGATGCAACCAAGGGAGAAAAAAAATTGCCAAGATCTTCACTCAAAAAGAAAATTTGGTATGATCATTTTTGGAGTTAAGTTGCCTCGAATCATGGTCAGCCTGTCTGGAAGTAAAACATGGCATTTCAAAATATTCAGTGTTAATTTGGTGAAAATGATGGACAGACAAAACCAGCTCGAGTAGGCAGACGAGGATGATTAGAAATGACTAAGACCTCTATAACAATGAGATAAGGTCTGAGGCAAAAAGATAGCCCACCCTAGTAGTATTTTGTCTATACATTAAATTGTGAGTTTTCATTTTTTTTTTTTTTTTTAATAACTTTTTCAGTTAATTATTAATTGAACCTTGTTACTTATATGCCAGTAATCCCTGGAAATAATAGTAAATACTGATTTTGAAGTGGAACAAAAACATAGAACACCTGTTGTTTGTAAACAAAAGTAATACCCGAATCCAATTGTGAATAAAGTTATGAAACTCAGCTTGTTGTTACTATCTATGTAAACATTTGTAACGGGTCTTGCTAGTTGTTTGACGCAATCTGAATATGCAATTATATTAAGAATCAGATAAGAAAATCATAGAATATCAATTTCGTAAATATCAAGATACCTAGGATTGGTAGGAAAGTCATTTCTACCTTTTTAAACCACTCAGAAGACTACAGAAAGAAGAAAATACCAGATAGGCCATCTGTCTTAACCAGCAGGAGGAAAAACGAGCAATTTTGAGTATCGCTTCAAATTCCTGATTGACATCTTGGCAAATCGCTCAGAGAATTGGAATGTCAACCAACATTAAAAAAAAAAAAAAGAAAAAAAGGTAAAGAGGGTCATAAATGATGCCATGCACATTCAAAGAAGGAAAATTAAATGGATTCCACTATTAAATAAAGTTCGTAAGGAACTCAATAAACAATTGACATATCTACTGGAAGGAATAGAGAGAAGTACTATCTTTAGAAGTAAAAAAATAAAATAATAAATAACATTAACGGTCCTGATAGTTGGGTATGTTATTTCCACCATCTACTGAAAGAACAAATGATATTTTCAAAAAGGCAAATAAGTACAGGAATTGTGATGGTATATGGTGGCATCCGTTACAGTAAGAAAACAGAAATTGTATTTGTATATAATAGAATGAACAGTAACCGATATCTTCAATTAATAGAAAATTAATTAACAAGGTACCTAGAGACAATACCAAGTGAATAATTTGTATTCCAGCAGGACAATACAATGAAAATGGTAAAAGCCTTTTTTTTTAAAAAAGAAAAAAAAGAACTTGTGTTGGAATGGCCACTAGGTCTTCAGATTTTAATTTTTCTAAATGTCTGAGGACATCCTTTCAGGGATCTTTATAAGGACTGATGCTAGTTCCAAAACAAAAGAAGCTCTCCGGATGGAGAATTAATTGAGCAAAACAATGCATACAATATGAATATGTAATACTGGGATTGCCAGTTTGTTGTAATTTTTATAGAAAAAACATGCAGCAACTAGATAACAAAGGGAAAAAACGGCTTAATCAAACGGGAAAATATATAGTGGTATGAACACTTTTGTAGTTAGGTTGTATCAGATCCTGGTCAGCTAGTTTGGCTTGACAATGCTTCTTTTCACCACATTCAGTGGTTAATTTGTCAAAAATGCCTGACCACCTAAGCACAGCTATACTTAAATGAAATAGGAACAAATCCTGCAGTGTAATAAGAATGAAATTCCAGAGAGGAATCAACTGCAGAATAAAGTGTTTGTTATATTAAAAAAAAAGTTTGATTTTATCAAGCACAATTATATTTAAACAAAATATCAACGAAAACTGCAGTGTGATAAGAATGAATGAATGCCCAGATAAAGAGTTAAATGAGCAAAGCATGGCATACAATTTGAATACATAAAACTGGGAAATTATCAGTTTGTCGTAGTTGTTTGTAGAAATAGAATACATCAAGTAGATAACACCAAGGAAAAAAACGGCTAACAATAAGATCCTTAGTCAAAAAGGAAAATATTATATAATATTATATAAACATTTTTGAAGTTAAGTAGTATCAGATCATCCCGATCCACATCATCATACCGGTTGGTTAATTTGACAAAATTTTTGAACCAACAAAATTGTTAATTTAAAAAAAAAATCCTAAGTATATTCAAGTAATTATATTCAATTGCAATATCAATGAGAACTGAAATGTGATACGAATAAATGCCCAGAGAGCTAATAGAGAAAAAGGCATACAATTTGTATTTAAAAAAAAAAAAAAAAAAAAAAAAAAACAAGTATATAACAAAAAAGAAAAAAATTGGCTATGATCCTTATAAATTATTCTTAAAGAAAGATATATACTGATATTAACATTTTTGTAATTCGGATGTATCAGATCATACCGATAGCTAGTTTGCCTTCAGAAGACACAGTATTTCACTCAGTGGTAAATTTGACGAGTTTCGGACCAACAAAATCAGCAAGAATAGGCAGACAAAGATGATCAGAATTGACCAGCAACAAAAAACTGCAGCATTGTAATGAACAGCCCAAAAGAGGAGTACCAACCGCAGAATGAAGTGTATGTTTTATTATCTTATTAACTACTTCAATTAATTTTTCTTTCTATCTATGGTCTTGGTTGAGTGTCACAAGCGAGATTCAAACCCACGACCTTCGGCTCAATATGCCACAGCTATAACCACTTGAGCTAACGCGACGTTGATCCACTCGGACACCAACTCATCTCAACTAACAGCCTTTCGAATTTTCCCACTTTGTGCCATTCATCTCAACCAAGACATTAGATAAAAAGAATAATTAATTGAAATAATTAATATTAATTATGAATGCTAAACATTTATGGATTATAAATTGCTTTGACTTCCTCCCTCTGACATCTACTACACTTCAACATTTCAACTTCACAAACTTAAAGCCTCAAATTTTACATTTTACATTAAAAAAATATTGATTTCCCAATATTTATGTTTAACTGAAATATCAATGAAAAGTGAAGTGGGATATGAACGAATAGAGAGCTAATCAAGCAAAACATACAATTTGTACATTTGTCGAAAACACGCAGCAAGTATATAACACAAAAAAATGGCTAAGATCCTTATTAAAAACGGAATATATTATGTACTGGTATTTTTATAATGATGATGTACCAGATCATCTTGATCAGCTAGTTTAGCCTGTCAGACAGGCATTTCAACATATTCAATGGTTAATTTGATAAAAGTTTTGGACCAACAAAATCAGCGAGAATAGGCAGACAAAGATGGTCAGAAATGACAAGCAACAAAAAACTGCAATGTTCTTCAAAACACTTCAACATTTTAACTTCACAAGCTTTAAGCCTCAAACTTTACATTTTACATTTAACAAATAGCGATTCCCCAAGTATATTTAATTGAAATATCACTGAAAATTTAAGTGTGATATGAACGAATGCCCAGCTAGAGAACTTTCAAGTATTATTCAAATATTACAATTTGAATGAGATTTTTTTTTTTTTTTGTGTGCAGAGATATCATTCGGCCGGTAGATAAACCCTTTTATTCAAGCAGAACAAGGGAAAGACGATTATCAATGACAGCTTATCAGACATGAGATAAACAAAAATTACAAAACACAAGGCTATAAAGTGCAATAGTTAAATATGGTATCATACAGGATGAACTTGAAGATTAAACATCATCTATGATAAGATTCAAGTGGAAGAGAAAGGCGGGCCTTTTTTCCTTTTTTTTCTCACTTACTGAGTTAACCCAAAGCTTACAAATTTTGCAGTCATGCAGCAGAAAATGCAAATAAATTCAACAATTGAAGGACGTACTTGGACTGCGCTCTCTCTCACGACCTGGGAGACGGATTCCCGCAGCTGGGCTGCCATCCCCGGCCTGCACAGGCCCCGAGAGAACTTCCTCTCGCTCATCTCGTCCCGTCCTCGGGTCGAAAAGCATACAAACGGTGGAAAATTATGGGATGACGCGTCGACGGATGCTGTTCTCGATGTTACACCGGCGGCCCGTTCGTCAGGGCTGGCAGGCTGCGGACTCCAACTGTCCTCATCGGGCTTTCGGTTCAGACAAAAACGAATCCTTCCCGTAAAGACAAGGACGACTGTGGCGCCACGCCGAGAACAAGGCCCGGCCCGACAAAGACCACCGGCCGCCTAAACGACATAATTTCAAACATTACGTTCATATTAGTGTGAATTCTAGCTTTAGTATGCTCATTCCCTTTGTAAGAAGTTGTAAAAATAATCAAAAATGTATAAACTCTAATAGGTCTCAACTCTCACACACATTCACTCACTCAGTCGCCCACTATCCCATCAGTTCACCCCTGATAGAGCATATAACATAATAGCTTAACATAAAGTAGGTTTTTCCAGATTTTTCTTAAGCTGGTTTTTGTTTTAACTCTTACTGTTCAGTTACATATTCAGTCACATCTTTATATTCACCCATTCACTACTCCTTTCACTCACTCCTTCACAGAGACTATGACTTAATAGCTAAACATAAAGTAAATTAAATTTTTCCAGATTTTTCTGAACTTGTACTGGTCTTTACTCTCACTCACACAACACATTCAAACACTCAGACACTCCCTGATCACTTACTAACACAATCAATCACATTCTTATATTATTTATAAACACCACACATTTCCACATTCCTATATTCAGTCACTCACTATTCCATCAGTTCACTCCCTCACAGAACATATAACATAATAGAAGAAGGAATATAATTATCAAAAAAGATTTTTACAAAAGGGCTTGTATACAAGTCGATATATATAAAATAATTAAATAACAAAAAGGTTACAAAATTTAATGCAAGAAAAAAATTATTATTAAACAAAATTTGTAGGAATACAATATAACATGTTACAATAGTTGAATATGATGAAGGAGAAAAGTAAGTATCAAGGAAAATTATAAAAGGGAGAAAAAAAGAATGTAGGGGTTAATTTGATCAAATCAAGGATTATTTGCAAAATAAGTTGAAAGCTTCAAGCCTGAAAGCACGAAGTGAGTGGGCCGACCTAATATGCCACCACAGAATATAGCTAGTATAAGTAGATACAGTTTTTCCAGATTTTTCTTAAGCTGGGTTTTGTTTTAACTCTCACTATTCACTCAGGCACTCACTGTTCACTTACTAACACACTCATTCACATCCTTATATTCACTCATTCAGTTTCTCATTCATTACTCCTTTCTCAGAGATTAAAACTTAATAGATAAACATAAAGTTGATTAAATTTTTCCCCTTTTTCTGAAGCTTGTACCGGTCTTAACTCTCACTCACACAATACATTCAATCACTCAGACACTCCCTGTTCACTTACTAACACAATCAGTCACAACCTTATATTCACTCATTCAGTCACTCACAGAGCACATAACATAATAGCTAAACATAAAGTAGATGCAATTTTTCTATATTTTTCTTAAGCTGGTCTTTGTTTTAACTCTTACTCACTGTTCAATCAGGCACTTACTATTCACTTACATACTCAGTCACATCCTTAATTCACTCATTCAGTTTCCATAGGAGAAAAGAATATACAATAATGGAAACTTAATTCGCCGCATGTTTTAATAGAGTGATTTTGTAAATCATAGATAGGGTGAACCTTTAAAACTTTTATTAATTACTATCATAATTGTTATAATTATAATTTTGATTTATTTCCTAAAGTCTGAACACCCACTAAGAATAGGATTTACCTTAACCTTACAATCTATCTGTATCGGAATTTTAGTAGGAATAATTAGTTCATTTATATTCTCATATATTATAATAATAATTAAACTAAGAGGAATATTAGTATTATTTAAATATATATCAAGTATCACCTCTAAACAGAAATTTCTTATAAACAGGAAACCATACTAGTACTAATCTTAATTCCTCTAATTTTTATAAAACAAGACCAAATTATTAATAATATTAAAAACCTTCATACAAGATCAGCCATAAAATTACAAAGTTACCATAGTCGTTATTCTTACATTCACTCAGTCACTCACTATTCCATCAGTTCACTCCCTCTTAGAGCATATAACTTAATATAAATATATTTATCAAAAAACTTTGTCACAATACGGCTTGGCACCTTTACAGAAAGTAGACACATATAAAATAATTAAATAACACAAAGGTTACAAAATTTAATGTAACAAAAATAATTATTAAACAAAATTTACATTCCTTTATTATTCATATATATTATATTTTATTATATATTATTATTTTATCATTCCTTCTCATTTCCTTTAAATTTCTCTATATATTTCTGTTGTTTAGTTTAATTTTTATAATTCCTCCTCATTTATTTCATATTTTTAGATACATATATTATGACACAGTACTTACAATATTTTATTTGGGTTTATTATGTTGAATAGGTCTATATTTTTAATAATTGTGATATCCATATTATTATTTATGTTTCTTACATAATTATTTGGAGATCGTGAGATGCAGTCTGGTGTGACGTAAGTTTTAGAAAAACATTTTCTTTATCGTGCCAACGTGTCGATCTTTATTGAGATCATCTTCAGGGCCTGGGATTTATAAACGTTGTTTAAATTACACAAATACACGTAGGCTGTGAAAAAATGAATTTATACAATGATTTTCTTGTATATATAGTTTAAGCTCTTGTAGCACTTGTAACTGGCTATATTTCCCGTATAAATAAATAGTGAGTGATTGAATGAGTGAATATAAGAATGTGAGATTGATTGTGTGATCAGGGAGTGTCTGAGTGCTTGAATGTGTTGTGTGAGTGAGAGTTAAGACCAGTACAAGCTTCAGGAAAATCTGTAAAAATGTAATTTACTTTATGTTTTGCTATAAAGTTATAGTCTCTGTTAAGGAGTGAGTGAAAGGAGTAGTGAATGAGTGAATATAAAGATATGACTGAATATGTAACTGAACAGTAAGTAAGAATTAAACAGAAACCAGCTTAAGAAAACTCTTGAAAAATTGCATCTGCTTTATGTTTAGCTATAACGTCATATGCTCTGTGAAGGAGTAAACTGATGGATTAGTGAGTGACTGAGTGAGTGTAAGAATGTGATTGATTGTGTTAGCAAGTGATCAGGGAGTGTCTGAGTGTTTGAATGTGTTGTGTGAGTGAGAGTAAAGACCAGTACAACCTTCAGGAAAAACTGTAAAAATTTAATTTACTTTATATTTAGCTATAAAGTCATAGGCTCTGTGAAGGAGTGAGTGAAAGGAGTTGAATGTGTGAATATAAAGATGTGACTGAATATGTAAGTGAACAGTAAGTGCCTGAGTGAACAGTAAGTAAGAGTTAAACAGAAACCAGCTAAAGCAAAATCTTGAAAAATTGCATCTGCTTCGTTTAGCTATTACGTCATATGCTCTGTGAAGGGGTGAACTGATGGAATAGTGAGTGAAGATAAGAGCGTGATTTAGTGTGTGAATAAATGTCTGAATGTGAAATGTAGACTAGACTTATAGTGAAAATTTTTTGTATTTTTATATTGTTAAAACGATTGTACTGAATTTATTTTATCATGTTCTACAATATCGAGGTGCAGCTTTTTCGATAAGAAATATCGTCTCGAACGCGACCTATTGTCTATTTCCTGGTTTACTAATGTCATGCGACGTGACAACAATTCCGTAACCTGTGATAACAAACAAATAATAATAATAATAACATAATCATTTAAAAAAATGTTGTTGTTCAAATATTCACGACTTGTCAGCGACCGTTCGCTGCTAACACAGATAAAGCAGGCGAAGTGCTGTTTCAGCACCAAAGATATTCGGCCTTTTGTTTGGAAGTATGTGGACACCTTTAAAGAATTTACAGGTGGATTTTTCTACATTGCATTTCTACTAGAATAACTCATTAACTTGATTAACAAATAAAATCAGTTGAAATGTATAAATTTAAATCGCTGCTTCAAACAATTGAGTATTCAAACAGTAGTTGGTTTTCAAATATACACAAAAAATAAAATAAGTCGATTATTTTAACATGTAGCTTGTCAAACATCATCAGAATAAACTTTTTTTTTCTCTAACAAACATTGTAGTGTTATAAAAATGTAATATGCTTAATCTGTTGCATGTGTGTATATGCATACACACTCAAAGACTAAAAACCGGACGCTTGTATTTATTTGTTTATTTTTCATAATAAGTAGGCATAAAGGGGGCATTGGTGGCCGCAACAGTTTAGGTGTTGACATGGCGCTCATCGCTGTAAGGTAAAAGACAGGTTCAAATCCTGCTGCTTTGCATTCGAACTCGACATACTTACTATGGGCTTTTTACAAAAACCCTGGCACCCCGAGGGTTCATATGACTTCTGTTGTTGCAAACCCTTGTTAACAAAAAAAAGTATAAAGAATAGTAGGAGATTTGAAACAATTAATAACTTGTGGTTTACCTTTATTTATATATTAGAGTTACTAATCATTTTACACTCTCAAGGTAGAAAATAAAAAAAAGCTCAATTTCATCCTTTTCAATTCGTCGAGTAAATTGATGAAACATTAAATTTGCTTAACTTGTTTTTCTCTTGAAATCATGGTTTTACGCCCCAAAGATCTAGCCTGGGCAGATGCTTTGGCAACAAAGCCCAAGTCCTGGATGCACCGCGCTGTACCATCCACTATAATCTATAGCGGTTTAGGACCACTGGGGGTTTCGATCGAAGATAAGGTAGTAATCGACTGCGGTGCACTCCAGCTAGAGACGAAAATTTCATTGCTTTTACTACTGCACCGACCTTGATAGGTAGTCAACTCCAAACTGTCCAGATGCTAAAACAGCCATCAGAAGGCTTTATGAGAATAGTTTAGTCCTGCATCAGTTTCTCTGTTACTAGAGAGGCATCGAGTAGAAAGGCGACTCTCTTTACAGATGAGAGTCAGTTTGATTTGTGGCAATCAGATGACTGGGACTGTGTGTGGTCACAGCCTTTTTCAAAGACAGTCTTTAGTGGTATGTGGTAGAATCAACATCCATGCCCTTGCCAAACTGATTATAAAACAGAATGGTTCTTTGATTGCACTAAGGTACATCAAGGACTTTCTTCTGGAAGCTGTGTCCTATTTTCTCCATTTATTGGGGACAGCTTTGTGTTATTGATAATACTCACGCAGCATTTGGTTGTCTACAGTGGTTTAGGGCCATTGGGTGTTTTGATCGAAGATAAGGTATTAATTGACGGCAATGTAAGATGGCTAGAGATGAACATTTTATTGCTCTTACTACACTACGGAACTTGTCATTTAATAGCTTGCTTGATAGGTATTAAACTCCAAACTGTCTGCATCAGGTTCTGTACTATTGGAGAAGCAACTTGTAGAAGGCAACTCCTCTCATTTCAGCATCTTGCTTGGAAACTTGAACAATGGGGGATGGCAATTCTCTTCATGGTTGAGGGCCAATTTGGTTTGACAATTAGATGACCAGGAGTGGAATAACCTAGAGAATGCTTTGCTCCATATGTCATGCAGCCATTTCAAAAACATGCAATTATAGTATGGTAATGGAATCAACTTCCATGCCAGTACCGAACAGAATGGATCTTTGACTGCACTACAGTACGCTGAAGAAGTTCTTCTGGAAGTTGCAGTCCCATTCACTTCATTCATTGGAGACAAATTTATGTTATTGCATGATAATGCTCAACTTCTTGTAGCACGAGTTGTAACCCATTACTTGGAGGATATAAGAGTTACCATCGTTCGCCGTCTCCCATTCGCCATATCACCACAAGCATTGAATAGCTTCCTTTGTTGAATGGGATGCTGGTTTGTGTCCTTAGGCAGGGGTTATTTACTGGCTGGTTACAAAATGTAACATAAATAGGGTCAAACTTAACCAACTGTTATCCATCATTTAGCTTATTCTACATATACTTAAGCTAGGTCTAAAACGAAAGGAACACAAACTGGCCCTAAGGAAGAAATATTATTCCTTTTCCTCTTTAAACAAAAATGATTAAGCTATTTGGCCTTCTCCAATCATTACGGTAATTTTGTCTGTCATATGCATTTCACCATACTGTCTTATTTGTTTAATTACTACCACTAAAGATGGCCAAAGTGCTGGTTCATCGAGCTGAACAGAAAATTAAATAAAAGCTCAAGCTATACAGGTTCTTCATTCCCTGTGGACATACGAATTAAATAAATTTCTATATTTTATTTTTGTATAAACTTATGAAAAGTGAATTACAATATAAATAACCAAATAAATATTGAAGGGAGGAGCGAAAAAGAAGTTCTGGATGAACTGATGATGCCAAAGTATAACTACCTTGAAGATATACCAGAAGAAGTTATCAAATTAAGACTGAACAATTTCAAGGTAAACTGGAAGTTTATAATTTTTATACACCACTAAGAAGCTGGTGACCTTTTATATTTTAATTTCTTTTAGGAATTAAAAATAGGTGGTTGTGACAGTCTCGATGTTATGTCAATGTTGAAATTGCACCGTGTGACTATCAAAAATCGTGCTATGATATTGGAAGAAGCTGGGTTTTACAAAGATATGATAACGGTGTCCACGCTTAAAACGTAAGCCTGATTTGTAATTTTCAATCTTTTTGTTGCAAAGATTTTTTTTTAGGTATTTGCAGTTAGCAAAACATTCTGTAAAAATTTTGAAAAAATTGCAATTTATGAGCATGGACAACAATGTGATAAAGAGCATGGTAAAATATGTAGATGTAGATGAAAGTGAATGTGTATCTTTCACAGATAACATGACTATACTTGAAGCTAAAGTAGGTATCCAGTTCCAAGAGTACCTGAGACAAAATTGATCTATTTTGTATTCTATTAAAAAAAAATTTTTTCACAGAATTTCATAATGAGAAAATATTTAGAAAAGAGGCTTGGAATGAAAGAGGAAAATTTGCAACCCGTACAATTGTTTCACTTGCAACGTATGAAGCATAAAAGCCTTAGGATTTTGAAGGAAAACATTGATTTGTGCGAAAATAATATTGGCTTGCCTACAAAAAAGGTTCAGTAATTGTGACAAACACTAGATTATAAATTCTAATTATTTATATTCTAGGTGGCCGCAAATATGTTTCTTCTATACCAGAACACAGAAAACACATACAAAATAATCAACCAGGTGAAGCAGATAGGAGGGGTGGACGTTAAAGAAGTGCTAAGATCCAACCCAAAGATTCTTTCAGAGAGTGTAGAAAATATGCAAGACATAAAGGCTACCCTAAAAGTAAGATCTCACCTCTGTCAAATTAACTGTTTACAAAATTATTAAATAATGAACAATCTCAGGAGTTCAATATTCCCGAGAAGGTAGCCACTGGGTTGAAACGTGTGCTTACACTAAACGCCAAAACAGTCCGTCAGAGGATCTTAGATTTGGATGAGTTTGAGTTTCTATCTGCATGCAGGAACCACCCAAGAGTCTATGACATCATCTTCTACCATAGAAAAGTAGCCAAGCGCTTAAAACTACTTGATGAAATCAGGCTCAACTCTGTGACTGTTAATGCATTAGCTTCTGGAACCAAAAACTTTAACAAGTGAGTCTTGCAATTAAATTTCTTATGGGATTTCCTCTTGAGGTCTGCAAGGTGATGTGCTTTTTATAATAGACTGACAAAATAGCACACGGACTAACTGTAGAACAGGGGGGCCGAGGTAGCCGTGTGGTTAAGGCATCAGATTCTGGGCTAGTAGACCCCGCGGTCGTGGGTTCGATCCCCATCGCCGCCGCCGGACTTTTTCTGATGCCTAAGGGGACCGGTGGCCGCAATTTAAAGAAATTGACACGGCACTCATCAATGGAAGGAGTGGGATCAGATCTCAGCGACCCTGAATTGGTCCCANATATATATATATTTATAAAAGGAGCTCAAGGCAGTAATAAAACAATTGAATTTCCATCACAACACTGTACTTACAATTTTTAAAGATTTTTTTAATTTTCTAGTTATTGGTTTTTATGCCTTTGAAATTTTCACTTGTTAAATAGTTCTATACTTTTATGCATTTCAATTTCATTCTCACTAGTATATACATTCTTGCTAATAAATACTTTCTTTCAGCAACACATTCAGTTCTAACTGCTTTGACTGACTATTCCTAAATTTTGTTATACATTTTAATCTCTTTTAAGTAACGTGAAACTTTTTCAACCTATTCCGTCTTGTTACCCTGATATTGAATTTGGAATATTATACTTTTTTTTTTTTTTTTAAGGAATGTACACAGGGTATTCAATCTATTATATCTGACCAACACAACATTACATCTTTATCGTCGTACTCTGCACATAAAATGTGTTAGGCAGGGTGGCCTATTCTTAGGCATGTTAGTACTTCTCATTGTTTAGTCCTTGATTGTCCTAAGTTTATTTAATTAATATTTGTTCCATTCCAATGGAATTTGCCATATACATTATTCCAATTAATTATTCTTTTCATCTAAGGTTTTTGGTTGAGATGAAAATTAGTGTCACGAGTTGGATTCGAACCTATGACCTTCAGCTCAATATGAAAAAATGTGCAAAAAGAGGGAAAATTCGTACAGTTGCAGGTTGAGATGGGAAGTTGGTGTTCGAGGGGATCGTGGGTTCGAATCCTGCTCTTGACACTAATTTTTCATCTCAACCAAAAACCTTAGATGAAAAGATTAATTAAATGGAATAATTAAAAGAAGTAATTATTCACTACTAGCTCCCCATGGCCACTTCACAAGTCACTGAGAATCGAATCCTGATTACATGACATTTGAAAAAATGGCAAAAAGAAGGAAAAGTACTGCCACTGAGCTTCTAGCATATTCTGTTTAATTCCCATTTTAACAAATCAAATGAAGACAAACTTTTAGAGCGACAGATAAGAAAATAACTTTCTTATTACAATATCATAATAAATTCTATTTGTTGAAATCGTTCAAGATATTACGACCACGGATATGACCGAACTTCAGGACGGGATACAATCTATTTTCTTAGCAAGGAGTTCAACCGCGATAAAGGAGAATTAAGGGCCAAACTCAAGTGTCATCCATTCTGGGAGCATATTCCACTGATTCACATTTGGAAGATTGCCACCCACCTCAAAGAACGCTTTACGACCGATGAAATATATAAAAATATCTACATACTTCTGTACCCTCTGTGAGTATATATTTTTATAATTTGTTGTACAAACACCAAAGGAAAAAAACAAATTTTATAGAAAGAAGATAGAAAAAGAGCTTGAAATGATGGAGAGCAGGCCTGAACTGAATAGCTTTAAAACTGACGGGAAAGTGAGAAGCGATATGGTTCTTCCATTGGTAATCTATTACATAGAAAAGGCGAACAATTTCAACTACAATGGCGTCTGGGATTATGACTCTGAAGCTCAGCAATTGGGTTTTGATGTACCATTACAATATAAAGTGTCATTGTAAATGTAATTTTAAGAAATGTTTATATTATTTAAATACTTGGATATTTATTATTCATTCCACCTGTCATTATTACCAATGGATCTTCAAGACACAGTTTGCCGTTTCAATTTGTGATTCTGGTACACATGAAAGCTCTTGCTTTTGCTAGTTTGTCATCTTGTTCTTTACCTTCAATACCCTACATCAAGGTTATAGGTGGAGGAGCCGTGCTGCATGAGAAAATCTATGCATCTTTTAAAGATATTTCTTGTGTACAGTTCTACTGCATGGATCTTAGCTTGGAAAACTGATGATGTAGGGCCTAGGTCAGGGGGCCGCCGAGTGGTTAGCGTGAGAGACTCTCGGCTCGTAGATCCCGCGGTCGTGGGTTAGATTCCCGCCGTCGCCCCTGGCCTTTTTTTCACGATACCCTTCCCTCCAAAACGAATTCGCATACAATACATTGTCTTTGGCTAATATGCAAAGAACATAAAGCCATAAAAAAAAAAGAATTGTTTCATTTTGGTAGACATTTTTGTAAACTGTCTCGTTATTTTAACTTTTTTTTAAGGTTTTTATTTACACCTCTTTTAGATTAGGTTTGGTTGAATAATTGCCTCTGTACAGGCCGACTGTTAAAAATAAATAAAAATAATGATAATAGGACATATCGTACTCGGATCACTAAAAAGTCCATTTGACCATCGACTCACCTAAAGAACAATGGATCAAACAAGAAAACCCTATACAAGCACTCACTCCTCTTCGGCCAGTTGGTCTGCACTGAAGCAATCATTTTGCTTAAAATTGCCCTTGAGGAGAGAATCGGAGGTTTTACGGGCTGAAAACGCTGTGGGAGAGTAAGTAGACCATGAGGGTTTTCTGATGATGGGCGAGAATTAGCCCAAGACGTAGAAAACAATGGGATAAATGTTTTTGTAATAAATTAGTTCCTTTTGTAAAGGAATCAAGAACCACGTGCTTTTTGGAATAAACCCTAATAAAAAATAATAAAAATAAATAAATAAAATAAAATACTCCATTTAGGAAGAATACAAATTAAAAAATATATAATAACCGACTGCATGGAATCTACAATAATTAAAAAATATATATCGTTAAGTGGTTTTGACCACTCCATTTGTGCCACTAAACGAGTAGACTTAATGTGCCCTTATAAATATATATGTAAATTAGAAAGTAAGAATAAGGATTTAAATCGCTTAAGATTAGTTGGTTCTTTTTAAACATTTTTTGTCTGCCAATTTTTGCTGTTTTATCAGACATGCTTTTGTTATTTTCAGTGGTGGGTTTAGTCAATATCAAAAATAAGTACTGTTCATCACATATAAATCGCGTCTGTCTTCCTCTTCTTAGCCGATATAAAATTTGATGGATGTGAAAACTGAGAGAAGAGCTATTCTTTAAATGGTAGACCTTGCGTTGATAAAAATAACAATAACTGTTCTCTTTGTCATAGGAATGCTAAAGAGCATAACTACCATTTCTTACCAATATGACCCTCACTCATCAAAAGTGTTTATCAACGGCAGTGTCTTTCAAGAGATAAATTATTCCTGGTTTGACTGACTTGAAAACTACTGAACTACACAATAGTTACAAATAAAAAAGTCTTTCATAAGAAATTATTTTTTATTCTTATGATAATAAAATTATAACATAAATTAACAATTTATTACAATGTTTATTTAATTAACACATTAAATGAACTTGTTCATTCTTTAGTTTTTAATTCTTTAAGGCGTCTCATCCAGGTTTACCGTCTCAGATCTGAAAAATTATTATTTTAATAAAACATAAACTAAAATTAGGAATAGTTCATGATTATACAGAATTTCGCTGAGTTGGCCATCGTCTTGATCATACGTGTCATCAAGATGACAAAGGAAAGAGTCGTTTTCGTAAGTCGGGAAGAAAAATTCAGGCTTATCCCAGAGATTAATATCCGGGGGAATGAGATGCCCTTCTGACGTCATGTGTTTAATGATGTCTTTGTTACACGACGACATCTCATTGCATATGATGCACTTATTCCAGTAAATCTGTCTCCTTATGTAATTTACAAATTTTACCTGAAAGTTGTAAAATAATCAAATAAGAAATGTACAAATCATTCAGTGAGGATTGAACAAATTACCTGTTTGTAAAAATCGAACCCCTTGGTAGAAGCGTCATAGTCGAAATTATGCAAAGTTTTCATATGGAGTAGAATGTTGTCCCAGCTGGATTCTGATGTTGGGCAAAATAAGCAAATAATAAAAGAGGGAAGTTTTTCTTCCCAGTCGGACCAATCGGCTGTGTCTTCTTCCTCGATACTTGGCTTTCTTTCTCGTTTTCCCTTATCCTACGATGTAAAATTTTAATAGATTTAAAACCAGTTTATTGGCCTGGTGCAAAAATAATGCAGGCTTTTAAAATGCAGTCAAAACTTTTTTTTAAATTTTTATAAAATGAAGAAAATTTATTCGAAATATTTCCCATTACAATCTATATATTTTTGCCAGTGGAATAAGTGCTTTTATTCCACTGGCATAAAAATCTTTACTTCAACTCACAATAAAGTCTTGGAAGGCGTTTCGGCTTCACCATGTTCCCTATAGTTTTATTTCTCAAGAAGTGATCAAAATGCCTAAAAAAGTGGAAGACTGTAGGTATGAGGTCGGGTGAATATGGAGGGTGTGTTAAGGTTTCATATCCTTATTCTATCAAGTCCTTAACTTTTGTAGAAGAAGAATTATCCCTGTATAGTTTACCAATACTGGACAAAGACATTGCAGTTCAGTTTCACCATAATTCAGGAAATTATAGTGAACAACTCCAGCAGTACATCACCAAACAGTCACTATAACTTTTTTGGTTAATGATTTCTTCAAGAAATGAATCATTTTGGCGGTGCAACAAAAGAGACAAGCAAATTTTTGTAAAAAGCGTCGATTTCTTTGGGCTTCGGTTAGTTCATGCGGAGTCACTTGTCAAGCTTTTTTAATTTACCAAGTTGCACCATATGGCGCAATAATGGTTGAGTGGTCAACACCAAGCACTTCTGCGATTTCTTGTGTTGTCTTATGTGAATTTTCTTCAATCAACGTTTTGAGTTGATCATCTACAATGGAAGGCCTACCACGACCTTCCCTGTCTTCGAGATAGAAATCACCAAGACAAAATCTCTGAAATCATCGCTACACCGTACATTTGCTAACGCTTCCCTCCCTCCAAACTGTATTGATGTTTTGCGTGGTTTGGGCCACACTTTGTACAAATAAAAATTTGACGTAAATCTAGTTTGGAGATATTTAACTTCGCAGGTCTTCACTCTTATAAAATAAAATATTTTGTATAAAAGATAAAACAAGTACTTATTTTAATCCATTAATTAGATTTGAGTATTTAGCTTTGTTTACATGACAAAAACCTGTGAAAATAAAACAAATTTTCAAAACCTCGTACCTTCCAACTCGTACCCGGTTCAAGATAATTGACAATGTAGAACTTGTCGTAAAACTGATTATCTGGGTTTATTCGTTTGTGGCCCTTTTTCCTCATATGCTCCTTCAGGATGACCCTGTCCTTGAAGACTTTCTCACAGAAGATGCACTGCAAACTAAAATATTTCTGAGTTGATAATCTTCCATTATTTCGAAAATACTTACTCATCCATTTTCTGGTCCAAAGCCTGGAACAGTTTGTCCAGGAAAACAAGATTATCCGGATGGCCAAGCAGTACATTGTGGCTTTCATTCAGGTGGGTCACATATTGCTGCCTTGTCGGTTCAATTATCTGACGGCACATGAAACAGCCACGGCTGAAACATCTGTCCTCCCTCTCGAACCTCTGCTGCTCTAACACCATTTCCTACAGGTTGTATGATTATAACGGTTGTTAAATACTTAAAAATGAGTAATATGAAACTTACGATCGTCTCGTTTCTAAGTTTCTCACGGATCATTTTGTCATCTTTGTCTATGTCGGACAGTAAAAAAAACTCCTGATCTGAATAAACGACACCGTCTTTTTTAACATCGACTAACATTGTTGAGCAATACTGCTTCACCTGGTCTATACTCATCTTGTGTTTCCAAAATTCTAAATACCTGTAAAAAATTCAATTATTTAAAATGCAAAAAGGCACCTAAAAACTTTTTTAAAAATATGCTTGTGAGTTAATTATAACGACCAAGCTGGGATTCAAACTCAGAACTAACATGTGACAAATACAAGACATCCTAACTAACTGAAAGTAATGGAAAAAAGCTGTGGCCAGGTGCCTCCCATAACCAAAACATGCTGACGAAGGCTTATGTGACCAATTGAACATTATATGTTTCCATGTCCGTCCTTTATTTGTGCTGTGACCTGCTGAGTCGTTTGTAATACTGAATCAATGGAGAGTCACATGATTTGCCCCATGTCCAGTCACTTGTGTTAATTCATAACTATGATCAAACTTTGCAGCTATCACTGGGAAGAATTTTTTGATGATTCATGTATGTATTTAGTAGCCATAATTGACCGCATTAATTATTGAACTTTTAATCTAAGGGTGGATGAAAAAGCCAAAGGTCGTTGGTTAGAAAACTTACTTGAGACACTTGCTTTTTCAACTTAACCAAGACCTTAGGTTAAAAGTTTAATTAATTTTTTATGAATCTTTTTCCCACGGATCCCTGCTTTCTAGCCTCATTTGGTATTAACACATATTTAATTAAAACTTCCGTCTGTTGGCTCCTTCCCTTCCTACACATCACTTTGTTTCTTCCCAGTAATGAATTTTTATCCACTTTTTGCTTAAGATGAAATAGTAATTTCTTTAACAAGAACTGAGTTGCTCTCTTAAGGCAATCACATTTCTATAGCAGGGATACTTAACTGTGTTTAATTTTTGAACCTGTTCTGCTAATTCTGTTAGGCTCTTCGAGAATTGCTAGTAGTTTGAAAACCAATTACTAGTGTGCTTTGACTGAATCTTTGTATTGACTTGTTTTGCTTCCATTTGGGAAAATTCTCATCTAATGGCCATGACATTGCTAATCTCTTTGCTAAATATTTCTCCCCTGCCATACTAGAATATGCTACACCTGTTTGGAACCCATTCTATCTAAATTATCAAAAAATTCTTCAATCTGTACAAAACAAATTTTTAAAAAAACTTTCCTACAAACTCAATCTTCCTCCGAATTCTGCCTACCCTGGAATCCGCTCTGAATTTAAACTTTTCGAACTGGCACTAAGAAGGGATTACTTTGATATTGTTTTTGTATTTAAATTATTGATAGTCCATATCTCCTCTCTCAACTACAGCTACATGTCCCTTCGTACTCTCTTAAAACCTATAAATTATTTTATATTGAATTCCAAAGCTCTAACTACATGATGATGACACAGAATGATGATCAAGAGTAACAACATCTGCAATAGCATTGACTTCTTCAAGTTCTGTGCAATCTATGAAAAACCTTATCTTACAACCTTAGTTGAATGCTTTTATATTTTATACTATACAAAATTATTACAATTTATTTCATTTACTGGTTCAACTAATTCTTGCACTCTAGTCTTATTATATATTTACAAAGAGCATTATTTTCATTAAATATGTACCTAATTATTGTAGTTTCAATTGTCTTTCAGCTTTATTTTGTTTCCTCTGCCTTATTTGGTTAGTAATTATGTCTTTCATTTTTGTTGTTCAGTTTTTACTCTTTAATTGTATTTTTATATTTATCATTTATATTTACCATTTATATTATTACCATGTATATACGTCCTTATTCTTTTTATATATATTATTTGTATTTTTACATATATTATTTATATTTTTTGTTATTGTAAAATGTCTTTTTTATAGTGGATTTCGATCCGTAAATAAATAAATAAATAAATAAAACTTGACGAACACTAGCTATTATTGATCATTTCTGGAAACGTTATGAGATACGGCGATTTTTATCTATATAAACTGCGCAAAAATGAATAGGGATATTTGTAATTTGTTCTTATTGTATTAATTTTAATTAAATTAACCGATTCTTGTTAGCTGGATAAAGCAAAATAGAAAATACAAACGAAAACAAAAAATTTGTTCTCATTTTTAATAATGGATTTACTTTAGAATAGTTAATCTTGGTGCTGGAATACATCAGAGATGCAACTATTAAATTTTTTAAGCAATGCGATGCTAGTACCCGGACAATCTGTTGCCAAGTAGGCAACTATTGCTTGGATGACGCATAAGAGAATAAAGAACGCTCTGTTATAAATTGGCCAAAATAGCTTTTTTTAATCTAATTTTTTCCCTCAATAGAAAAAATAATGTAAATAATAAAAATTTTGTTATATTCTAACTAGCTGGAGGTAAGTGACGCTAGACAGAAACCCCATTTTATATTGTGTATAATAATAATAATACTTTAGAATAGTAAATATGAAGATTACATAATTTATAAACAAACACTTTTTCTCGTTTTTTCTCCAATTATTGGGTTGTCCGGAAAATAATGCAGGATTTTGGTATTAAACAAAAAAAAAGAAACTAGTTACTTTAAAGCAATGTTCTTTAATCAAAATAATTTCCCATACTCTCAATACATTTCTCCCAACGTGTTGGTAACTTATTAATTCCGTCTGAGTAGAATTCAGAATTTTTAGAATTGATAAAGTCAATAAATGCATTTTCCAGTTCCGTTTGATT